TTATAAATTTTACGATACAATTGTTTGCAGGATGTAGGATGCATTTAGTCACCAGACCCTTAAAAGACAATCCTTTAAACAGAGTAGCACTTTATATGGCAGCCTTGGAACCAATGTAGAATTCGTTGAAAGAATTCAATGAGCTAATCAGTTTTGACAATATCATGTTATCATTTGATTGATGAATTTATGTTATAAATATATGAAAGTTATTTGTTCTTCGAATCCGTTTTCTTTAAGATATACGGTATTTTAAGAGTATTGCTAACCAGCTGTTTCTTTATGATATTTCAGCCATATAATGTACACAAACTTTATGAAATTGCGTACAGTTTCTCGTCAATTCATCTTTATCGACATATTTTAAGGCAATGAGGATTCGCATTACATTTACTTGAATGGATCTTGCTATATAAAACCGGGTTGTGTTGCTTTCGATGACATAGTAAAACGGTACACTGTTTGTAGGTCGTATGGAATGCATTGCTGACGTGTACAAGCCAACAACTTGGGAACCAATGATCACCATAAAATAAAAATAAAAGATTATAAACATTAAATGTCTACAATAATAAAAAAATACATAGATCTCAGATTAGATGTATCTATCGTAATAAAAACATCGCGTAAGTTATAACAAGAACCGGTGTTTCATGTGCTCGCAATAGGGGAACCAAACAAATAATAATTTTTAAATCTCCCCTCAGTATAAACGGCTGCTGTTTATCTCAGATTATCGCCGGAGATACGTAAGTGCGATAAGGATGGAAGATATAACGCTAAATGCAATTGCGATAATGCGGGAATTTATTGTAGAGCCAGTGACGTTCATCTTTAACCTTCGGTACTGTTTTGCAATAACTTGGATGTGACTACTATGACGTCGAGGGTATGGAAATAAGCTGAGTACAGACTACATTCTAAATTTAACAGCAAGTGAGTGTAAGCAATTTGCGTAGGCGTGAGGACGGTTACAAAAATAAACTTTGGCAACGTTCGACCTGCAAATGCTGTGTCTGAATTAACGTTTAGATACGAGTCATGTTTTTATATTCTATTATCCGCGATCAAAGTTAAATAGATACCTAGATCTGACAGTTGGACTGATAGTTTAAACAAAGCGAACATAAATTTTTACTACACGATTAATTTCAAGGAATAATAAATATAATCAAAGATGAAATCAACATCAGAAATTTTGTTACAAGTCCAAAGTATGAGGAACAAGAATAAAATGATGCATTGTGGAACGGCGTTACGAAATACGTTATAATTGAATAGTATTTGAGATGTGAAATAAAGTTAAACTTCCGTGTTGTATATGTTAATGGTGCAACAGAATTGTGTAATGATAAGAAAGACTGATATGCAACGCACCTGGGTCGAGTGGGCGAACTATCTCGACTGTTTTGAAATACAACTGAGTACGACTTAAAACAACTGAGTTTATAATACAATATATCCTATAATATCTTTAATTAAAAGCCATAATTGTAACAACGATGTCAAGACTTATAAATATTGTATTACTTAAAAAATGTATATATTTTTAATTTACTAAATTACCATATTAAAATCAAGCTACGAGGAAAATAATGTAAGTAGTAAGGCATTTATATTTACTTATTGATATTTGTTAAATTAAGTATCGTGATCTATAATTTTATGTACCCACATACTTAGAATCCATTTAAAACCGGTCCTTTTTAACCGATATTAGTGATTCAAGGGACGTGCTCGAGTGTCTGACGAATATTGCGTTTAACGGGACGCATTATTATGCCTTGAGACATTTTTATGTTTGGCCGTTTTTTTTTTAAATATGTAAAACTATTCTAATGACAAAAATAACCCATCAATTTTCTTATTTCTGAGCAATTTCTATTCTAGTAATTATTATTATGTGTATTAAACTTTTTATAGAAAAGCAATAAAGTTACCGAGAACATTATTATAATAATATTATAAGATGGTCGATTATACGTATGTGGGGCGTTATACTGGTCGATAAAACCTTCTAGAAAGTTACGTTTCTCTTACATTAGGTTAATGTAAATTCATTTCCACTATCAGAGTTCAATGTTCAAGGCCGGCTTGATGAGCCAACCGTTCAGAAAGTAACCTGTAGAATTTTGGTGACATACAAGCTAAGTAATTTTTATTTTTGTATAAACGGTATAAGCTATTGATTTATGTAAGTTACAAACGTGTCAATTGTTTGTTACTTGTATTAATGACGTTTATATAAAGAGGACTAACGGGAATTAATAGATTTCTTATGATACTACATATGTTTTCTAACAGGTTTTTTTTAATACGATTTAAATAAATGACTTTTTATGAAGATGCAAATAACATAATTTAAAGATTGAAGATAAGAATGAAAAGTAGGTCGTCCAACTACATTCCGACTAATATTTTTTTTACGTTTGCTTTGTATCTATGTGTCAATATTAATTATTTTCGAATATTAATAAATCTGCTTTACTATTTCGATTTGCATAAATAAATAAATAGTCCTTTTAGGAATGAATATATTTTTTTAATAATAAAATACTAAGACTCTTTCGTTATACTAAAAATACACTAAAAGTTGATTTCTTTTTGCATATTCTTAACCTGTTCTATTTCCAACGCTCGTATCGGCTGGAAGTGTCATAGATTACTTTGTAAAAAATTTACACCACGAAGGTTTGTTTATTCTTTTTTTATTTTGTATAGCCGGAGAAGCATTAAATTTTTAAGTTATCTGTATAATCTTTAGTAATTTATATTTTATTCTCCGAGAATATATATCGTCAGCTGTGACAGGCGAGGTCATTTAATGTTTTTTTTAATATTTTTTCACACAGTAAACACTTGACCTATTTAAATACTTCAAATTCAGTACAAGATACTTTCAATTTAAACGACGAATTTTTCATAAAATATGAAAACTAAGGATGAATAAAAATTGCAAGCTTCGTCTGAATGGTTTTGGTCGTTTGCCAACATCGAGCTAACGAAGACAAGGAAAAAATAGCCATGTCAAAAGTTACGTAACATATGCAACACCGTCAACATGTCAATCAGAGTATTTATAATAATTGTGGAAAAGAAACGGTATATGAACTTGATTCGTATTAGTAATAAATTTTGCAGGACGATAAAATCTTTGTTTGATATGTTATGCTTATCGGCAGTCAATGAACTCCATTTCAAGGAAATTATGCGAAAGGTATGCATTCCGGTATTGGATTTGATTTTGCTTTACGTATTTTATTTTCTATTTCACATAACTACCAGATATTTTCTTATGATAAACAGTATTAGAGTTAAAACATTTTGACAAGGATAAATTAATTGGTAGACAAAAAGTATGCAAAACGTAAATGTGGGTTTTGTATTTTCTTATGTTACGATTAACGTAGAACTAATACAAAGTCTTTAAGAATTATTTTGTGGTTATCAGCTCTCAAGGTTTTTCAAATAATAAAGAATACGTATTGGTTACAAAGATGGCATAAAATTTATATTTATTCTTATTACCGCTTTCACGATAGCTTTTTATCACTGACGTCCTCTTTTTTTTAACATTACATTTGAATGCATAAGGTCAAGTTGGAAATGGTGTGAGCAATTCAGGCTATAAGATATAATGATTCATAACGGCCAATATCAATAAGCGTCAGGTTTCCCATATCTGGTGAATAAGGAAATCGTTGTACCAGTGACCTGGTTGTGGAACGCTTCCAGTGTATGACTGGTTGTGAGTCTGATGCATCTTTGAGCTGTTCGACCGCGACATTGACCCTTCATACACGTACGGCCAATGCACCGGAGCTGTGTCGCAGCCTCTTTGTTTATATTTCTTATGCATCCTGCGGAATTCAAAGAAAACTACTCCTTCGTAGCCTTACGTACGTGACATCACGTTGTTTTTTTGGCATCAAGATTGTTTTAATCTTATTAATAATCTTATTGTAATATAAGCTGTTTCACAATAAATAAGATCATTAATGAATAATTATTATGGTCCTGTAATTTAATAGATTTTTTAATCAATACAGAATTTAGGGTGTCAATATTATGACGAGTTTGATCAAAAAAAGCTTCAAACTAAGACTTAGTACCTATTTATATATGATTATTAATAAATAAAAAAATATCGACACAGGTAAATCGATCTTTTGCAATACGATATTGACATTCCATTTGTGTTGAGCTCATACAGTGCGTCAGACTAATCGTCATACATGTTAAAATATTAATGAAAAGCTCAAATAAATGGTGGTATTTAACGAAGCGTTCGTCAGACTATGTTTCCCTGAAATATGGGTTTCATAATGACGTAAAATCGGACGCCCGCGCTTTCAGCGGCGCCTGCGCCGGACCCATTTTAGGACATGACTAACGGAAATTCGATTCCTCTCGCTCCGGTCCGCTCGCGCCCGTGGGATTCTGGCTCTTTGCGTCTCGCTCGCACTAAAAGCTTGAAGAAATCTTTTAATAGTGTCCACGGCCGCGATCTACTTTCATCTAGCGGCGGGAAAATGTAATATTTCATATGTAATCCCGTCTATACGGAAAATTAGGAGCATCTAAATTATTAATATTCAGCCCGATACAATAATTTTGAGTAAATTTTGAAATAAATGCAGGATAATTATTTATATCGTATTTTATAATTATTTGATACGTAGTTATCAATATTTTATTTTTAAAAAGATAATTTGGTGTTATCTTTTAGTGTAAACAGTCTTAATAGAAAACTAATATTAGCCCTAATAGATTTTTTATTTCACTGTCAATTAATCTATTTGAGTATCTAGATATAGTGAGGGTATATTTAATCCTTTATTATTAATAAAAATTATAAAAAACACTAAAACATGAGTCACTCATGTTGATAAGGATATATGTAGATATCAACGGATATACCATTCGTTCCTATTTCCTCTAAATTTAATTCAATAATAAATTTTTATAGTCGTCAATTATTATTGTCATTTTAAACTGACCTTTTTCTGTTGCTTCTCCCAAGCCGGGTCCAGCAGACCTTCGCGCTCCCATTCCTCCTCTTGTTCCATGTACCCGTCCGGGTACTCATAGTTATTAGTTAACACCCCGTTGTCCATCATCATGGTCACCGCACTGACCGTCGATTTCGATGTTCGTTCGAGCCTATGACCGCGAACTCGTGTGTCTTAGTTCGCACCGCGCACTGCAACAAGCAGCCGGCCGCACGCCCGCTGCAAGGAGACTGGCGCGCAAGCGCTCCTACCGGCGGCGTGATGAACTTTCTAAACGCGTTCCGTTCCACGCAGTTGTATTAGTTGTCATAGATATAAATATTGAGCGGTATCTATTGCTCGGTAACGTTTTTGGCCGCGCCATCTGGTATTTTATTTTTGAATACAGAGGGGAATTTCGTATGCCCTGAGTGGGCGTGTTCGACAACTTACGAAGATAACCATCTGCTGTTTTTATTATTATGAATTACTTTTCTTTGGTTTGAAATAGATAATGTTTTCTCCAAGAATATTTTTCCAGAGATATTAATAAAAATAAAGGAATATTCAATATACATAGATGTCGACAATACTAATGAGAAATCAACACTCGTAGCAACATTTATTATACCATGATTTAGGACATTTTGTTTGAGTTTTAATTTAATAATAACTTATAATTTGAGTGGGATGTTACAATTTACATAAGTCGCGAAAAGGAAAATAAGAGACTGTCTCAATGAAACTTGATTAAAAGTCACTGATAAATATTGTATAAAATTGTTGGTATAGTTAGAAGTAGGTTATGGAATTTAATATCGTTAAAAATGTCGGATTTGACGATAGATATGATTGTTTGATGTATAGTAAAAGATTTTTTTAATCCCTAGAGATATCACAAATTCACAATAATACGTTTTCTTAAAGGTAATAAAATACATACATGTTGAGTACTTTCTCCTTTTTTTAAATCGTTTAAAAATATAAAATAAAGCAAATGAATGTAATTTTTTTATGACGACATACACCATATTTAATTATATCACTAAAAGTTTCTAAGTGGGACCATAAATTTTTATTTTTTCCACATATTATATAAACATAAAACTTTAATATTTCCGGATATGTTACCGAACACTTTTCTTAAAATAAATAAAATAAAAATTTTAGTTTACAATTTTTGATTATCCTAAAGAGGTTGGATCTCATTTCAAAACTTTTACAATTGTTAATGTAATTATTCTTCCATTTTCAGGGAAAAAATCAGGTCATTTAAAAATTATTAGCATATTACATAATTCATAATAACTAAACTGTGTCAAAAAAGTATATTGTTTTTACAATTTGACTCTACTATAACAAGAAATTTGAATTCCCCTTACAAAATGACCGCTTTCTATGTAAATGAATATAGATTAAATAAAACAATGAATTACACAAAAAAGTTTATTTACCACATAAAATTTTCTTAAATAATAATCTTGCTCAAGACAAAATAACAGATATACTTAGATATAATTTTGTTTTCATTTGAAGATTCCAATATTAATATAGTTTATAGCAACATCCACGGCCACAGGAAGGTAAAAACTTTGGAATAGAAAATTTCATTTAACCATTTAAGAACTCGACACATTAAATATTTGGTGTTACTACAAATTAAAACCTATTTATACAAATATGAGTATTACTCATAGAGACTGTTAAGCTTCACGCAACATTTAGAAGTTTAAAAATTATTATTATTACACAGAAGAAGTATACAACATTTTAAATATAACCTCTTTATTATTGTATAATGAGCGTTAAAACAAAAAAATATATATTAAGAATTGTAAATAATACAAACGAATACATGTGATTGTAATTTTTGTGCTTCAAATATTCACTAAATTCCATAGATTTGTATGAGAATAATGTCACAATTAAGCTTTGAGCAACATTGCGTCATATTAATACAATAGCAACACTCTCGTATATATATTCGGAAGTATAAAAATTACAGACAATTTAACTTTTTACAACTCACACGTTGTCAGAAATTTTACAATTATATATATTTTTTTATCAGTTTATATATATTTAGACCCAATTTAATTAATGTTTTTTAGTTTTCCTTTCCAAGAGCTTTGCTCTTTTCGTTGGTGCATATTTTTCTTGAAAGATATATTCAAAAATTTTGATTAATTTGTCTGTGCACTGTTACACAGTATTGGATGAACTGTGAAAAAGTGTCTGTGAAATGGGGCGAAATTTTTATACTACTTGGTTTAAATTTTTATAAGAACATAAATAGTAGTCCTTACTTGAAATGCGTTGATAGATTCTCATAAATAATTAAAATTATTTATACGGTCAAATGCACGAACAATTTTTCACACTACAAGATTTTTTGGCGGAGAAATATATATATGTTTTAGAACCTACTATAAAAACATTGTGGGGCTAAAAGTACTGTTGTTCCCCAGCGATTATAGGGAATTATATTTATATAGGTACCTTACGTCGCTCCCAAATACATATAATACTTTATTACGTACGTCTACAGATTAGATTTGGCTATAAGGCATGTCGAAAAATATAACAAAATAAAAAAACTCACTGAAAAAACAAATAATAAATACATTACTCTGAACTCAGCAATCGAGTCAAATAAAAAGTAATGAATTCTCTATTGATACAATATTTTAGTTTCCACTTTAGTGCATATGACATATAACTTAAAATGAAATGAATGTATTATTCTGTTTAAAAAAATTCCATGACAAAAAAAATATTAAAATGTACATAGTTGGATAGTTTATAAGTTTTTACAAATATTATTTTGCTTATATTTAAGCCACGGAATACAGAATGAAACACCTATACCAAATATGGTATCGGACATAATATTCTTAAATACATTGTGTTATATATTCATAGAAATTTAATACATCCATTATTATTTTATGAGACATAAACAACACATATATTTCCAGGTAACATTTTACGATAGAAAAGGTTTTTTATTTAGGTTTTTATCTACGTTATTAGAAAGAAAAGGTTTTAGAAGCATTTAACACACATATAATCTGCTACAATCTTTAGTGACAATTATTATTTTTTTATTTGGTTATATTATAACACATTTTATAGATATCTTAAAGTAACATTGGATATATACATTGATTTTGACATTCATTCAAGGTTACACTACAATGTAGGCACACAAAGGTTTAATGGAATTTAAAGCTTCTTTTATAGAATAAAATATATGTAAGTTAATTGTTATATAACGATACATTTTCTTTTAAATATATTTTGGGAATCACAGAAGAAGAGATCATTACATATAATCTATAACAGTGAAAATATTAGGTAACGGCTTTGAAACAACATGATCTCTTTCATGGGATCGCTACACATTTCTACACAAACATTTTATTAAATTACTTTCTTTGAGTAAATATGTGTTACAAGCGTAACAATAGCGTCTAACATTTAGAATTCGATTACATCGGTTAGTATAATACCTCTACAATTTATCAGCAATCAGTCATTTTTGCGTGCCAGTCTACAAGATATTCAGTGTCATTGATAGTTTTGAGGACTAACATATTTGAAGTATTAACAGCACAAAGATTTCCAACGACTAAGTTGTATAGTGAGCAAATGAATTCCGCTTTAAAGTAAATATGTAATAGGGCGGATATATTTACTCATTAAGGTAATTTGTAAATATTTTAATAATTTTCCCAATTCGGCTATTTTATTTAACGTTTTGATCACAGAAGATTGTTTTGAATATAATTTTTGTTCGATATATTATTAACAATTTTAGAACATCCAGTTTTTTTACTCTTCAGGCTACGTTTTAGATCAAACTTTTGGTACCAAAAATAGAGATGATTATAATGAACACGTCTAAATGTAAAAAATATATAGGCATCAATGAACAACAACAAGGAATAGGTATTCGAGAAGTGTACAATTATTCTCGCACCTCTACTAAAGTATATGTATAACAATAATACTTCGAAGGCGTCTACATACCACAATGAGAAGAACCCAAACCGATCGCTCTTCATATTTATCTAATACACTGATAATCCTCACAGCTCCATGTTTATATACCGTAATCAAAACTTTCGAATTCTGAAAATCTCGAATCCTGTTTCTGTAGGCGTTGCTGGCAAGCCTCGATGTAACTATCCTGAATTCTGTACATTCCCGAGTTGGCTTGATACATCAAAGTTTCGAGAATACGTTCATTTTTGATTGCTTTTGAGGGAAGAACCACTTTTATTAATTCCTGTGGTGAGATCCTATATAATTTCAAATCTCTAGCTAATCGCTCCATTATACATTTGAACTCATTCTTGGCGTCAGTCTTGTTCGTAGACTTTGATTTGATTTTATTGCGAGCCCAACTAAGCATTGCTTCGAATTTTCTTACTTCTGGTACTTCGAGGTTCCTGCACATTATCATCTGTACCATCGATTCCGATAGATTAAGAAACTCCGAAGTTTGGAAGAGAGCATATGCCCGTTGTTCTATAAATGCCAGAATCATATTGACCAGCTCAGAAGCTGATGTGTAACGCCAGTAGTAATTTTCCAGTGATATCAGCATGGTACACACCTGAATAAAAATATATAATCGTTACTATAAATGGACAAAATCTCAGTTCTGACTAGTAGACTGGTCTAGATTAAGCTTGATATATTTAAATGGGTCAGGTTGTCCCTTTTAGGGTGCAATGCCAGTTTTATTTGACAGATTTTCATTTCTCTGGCTGTTATAAGAAAACGAATGCAATATGTTCGAAAAATCCTATATAATAATATATTGTATGCGATATAACCCAATATATATTTGGTTAGGGACGTGAATCTAGCAATTACAAGTATTTTTTTAATGGAATAAGATTTAATTGTAAAGATATGTATGTATATACCCATCAACTTCGTATATATCAAAGGGTCATTCTAGTGAGATGTTATATTGATGAGTTTGAGGGGAAATATGTAATATACCACTTCAATCCTAAGGAACTGCTTGGCGTGATGGAAGCAAGCCTGCAGAAGTTCTGGCAGGTCGTAGTGTTCGGCAGCACAGATGAGCCCCGGTATGGAGGCGCATGTGAGAGGACAGCTGCCCGTGTGTAAATAGTCCAGCAAGATCCGGAATGTCTCAGGGTCGAATTCAATTATTGAGAACTGAAACATGGAAATGTACATATTAGATTGAAGATAATGACGAATTTGAATATAAATTTCAGTTTTATTTCATCAAACATTTTTTAAATATGGTGGTGAATTAAAGGCTTATCACTAAAATGATATATCTGGCGTACATATTAGATTAGAAAATTCGATGGCATAAAATATCAAACCTCAGTTTGAGCAAGCTTCGCTCGGTCTACTTTTTGAGCATCTGCACACACTGAAAGACGTGGCACTGCCAATGCTGCATTTTTGTCTTTGTCTTTGTCCTTACTTTCTTTATCTGTAATTTTAAAGGAAATGTTTTGGTGTGAGTAATATATAACTATTCTATAAAAAATTTCCTAATTTCTGGCAATCTTCCAAAGAATAAAATTCAGATGTTAGGTTTAAAGCGGGTAATAGGTACACTGTATACTGCAAGTAGTAATATTGAATCCTGCTAGTGTTAATATATTCATAATTATATATGTTTATGTTTATATTGACTTTCTAATAAAAATATCGATTTCACAATTATCTCAATAGTAAAAAGGATCTATTTTGTTATGTACATGCCATATATAGAATATGTAATTGTATTTTATGTTATAAAGACGATACTATGTATATTGATCCCTGTCGTTGACGCAGTCAAAGCCATTAGGCCTTACAACTACCGTCAAGTCAAAACTAAAATCATAATACTATATTACGGAAAAGAAAACGTACTTGAACAGTCTTGTGAGCTAGCCCATTTTTTCTTATCATCAACATTGAGTTGAGAGTGTTGTTTCCTTATAGATCGACCCCATCCAGCTGTTATGGTGCCGAGGCGGGAGAAGGCACGTTTAACCATTGGAGAACTGGGAACACTTTTGGGTCTGGAAAAATAATAAGATTTATTTTAAAATAAAAGATAAGATAACTATAATAATAAAAACATTTCGAGATTTCTATTTCTTTTTACCTCGGAGATTCAATGTCAGGTACTTGTAAGAAGTTGCTGCTTTTCTGTCGTGGCGTGGGAGAAAGAAGCGTGGGCGCGGGTCGGGCTAACAGTTCAGCTACCGGCACTTGAGGCGAGCCGAAACCAGTTTGTATGCCGTAGAGCATTTCTTGGAATACCCTAGAAATGTATATGAATTTGAGTATCTTTGTAATATTTTAAATACCCATTATGCGTCACCATTATAATTGTCATTATTCAAGATAATTATATGAAACAAATTTACGAAAACTGAACATCAAAGATGTACCTGCTCCTAACACCTAGTATTGCACGGACACCGATAAATTTCGTTTTCTGTTTAGACTGCCCAACCATGAATACTACATCAAAAAGTTGTGCATTCTGAGCAGCGTTTAGTTCACTGTTGAGGAATACTCTTGTAAAATCTTTCGCCAGTTGATCGTAGTCTTCAAACTGATCCCTGACGGAATCTAACAATGGCGATGACGGTCGCATGTGACCAATTGGACGCCAAGATCCTGAAATATGTCTTGTATATAAAAAACTGCATGGATGCTATTACAATGAGACAACTTTTGTTTCGGTTTAGTGATGACTTCGAAAAATAAGGTAATTTAGGATTATTTTAGATGGCAAGAATAATAAGTTTTACATGTGGATGGTTCCAAGAGGCCATTACAACGATTTTATTGTGCTTATAACTCTTGTTCCTCCACAAAACACTGTTGCCATATCATTATTTTAGTATAAATCTGATGGGTATACCTCGTCGGTAAGGCTTAGGTATCTGTCCAGTTTCGGCGTGATTCTGCAAATTGGCGACTATGTCTTCTAACATTTGGCTTCGAGTACGTTCCTGCATTCGAGCAAACTTTGGTGCGGAATATGAAGCTCGTTCACCATTTACAATTTTAGTAAGTAACCATTCTCTGAAAGTAAATAATAATTATAATATACTCTTTGGTAAAACTGTTTTAAATGATTTGAATTTATATTTCCTTTTGCTTTTATATGTTTGCATTGAATTTTTTTTTCTATTTATCTGAGAAGCAATCGATGTTTGAGTTTTAGGTACATTAATTATTCAGATATAACATTTTGAAAAAAAAATACAGCCGGTTTCGTTGCCTGACGCTGGAAAATTAAAAAAATCTACTTGCACCCTTATATTACATTAGTATTTTTTTTAATAATACGCGTACTTGTTGTTACTAAGTGTACTCGAATTTACCTGAACATAGGTCCTTTATCAAACACACTTTGCTCCCACAAGTACGGCTTGTAAGCGCCCACCTCGTCTCGGGTCACGACCGACACTTCATATCTAGTGGGACGCCTTTTAATTTTAGCAGACACTCGCACTGCAATTTTAAAATGGTAGGGTTTAATCGTTAGAGATTGTAGAACTTAGCACCTGCACTTAACAAAACAACTCGAAAAAATTGCTCGTTTTTTCCCATGACATTAACTGTATTAAATTCTTAAAGAATTGGTAATAATTATCTGAATAGATTTAAAAGAAATAGGTGGTGACTTTTTAAATAAATAAAACATCGTTAATGTCATTGGGAAAAATATTATCTTGCATCTAAATAAGATTTAAATTATATGTTGGATCAGTGTTGGTTCATAAACTCAAAAAAAAGTTATATTTATGAAAATAAATACATAGTCAAATTTTATCCTGATTAAAAACTCAGTTAAAAAATACAAAATATTTGTTTACCTAGAATAAATGTGTGTAAGAAATGACTCTTTATGCAGGCTGGTGAAAAGGCTGTATTATCGGCTTCCAGGAATACGACACATACAATGTCATTTCCTATGTGACGTTTTCGTTGTAATTTCTGTGCGTCATGTTTCTCATACGGCAGAAGAGTAGAAACGTGAAACATGATCTCAATGCTCCTCCAGTTTGTGTAAACTGAATACAATCCTGTGAGATCGTGAACGGTATCAAGACCGCCTTTGTATTTGTCGAATCCTGAAACGAAATATAATAATACCTTAGTCTGGAGCTGCTTTGTAAGTTCGTTTAACTATAAACCGACTAAATTTAATTGGTTAGGACAAAGTCAGAATATTATACATTAAAATTAGATATTATGTTTGGTTAAGTTATTGGTAATGAGTAATAAATGGATTCCTGCATGATTTCCAATACCTTTGAGACGAACTTTTTCTCCGAGAACTTGTAAGAACTCTTCAAAAAGTGGTGAATTCTCATTATTGTCCAAAATTTCTTCTTCGGTGTATTGATTTTCCTTCACATATATCACACCAACTTTCAGTTCTGACTTTATAAAAACCTGAATAAAGAAAACAGGGCAGAGATTAAACAAAATATATCAAAAAACTACAACACGTTTTATCAGAATTTTTGAATAAAGCTCGTATAGTGTTCGGGGAAGCTATAACTCATTTTCTTTAATAACTTTGGGTAATTTATTATTGAGATAGGGAGGCAATCTATTCCCGTATTAACGTCCTTGATCAACAAGTATACAACGAAACTCGGGGGATATTCCTATCCCTTATTCATTACCATAATAGAAAACGTAATCTTTGCCATAATAGGGCAATCTATTCCTATATGCCTTAGTTTTATAAATGTAAATATAAATACGAACTATATGATACATATTTATCTTGTTAAACAATTTAATTTATCTTAATAGAGCTGAACCATACTAATAGTAGAAATACCGACGAAAAATTTGTTTAAAAAGATTATATACACATATATCATTTTTTACTTTTCGGTAACGAAATGTTTATGTTTATTATATTTTATTACATAAATATATACATATATGTATAGAAATTTATATTACGTTCTAACAAAGAAAATCGCACTGACAAAATGATTGAATACTATGATGGAATTCATTTCAGTAAAATATCCTAGTGGCTATGATTCATATGTTAGATGACAGTACTTACTGGAATCCGTAAAGTTATAGATGTGCTTCGAAATTTTGCCCATTTATTCTCAAGGATGTATAATAATAATAACTTTACTATCAATAATTAAAGCAACCATGAATAAAACGTAAATGAACTAAACTTAAAATATATTTTTTAATTAAGTAATTTTAACATGGAAATTCACAACAATAATATTTTTTGTTTATTTCATAAACCTGTGTTAAATTCTAAAAAACCTTAAGATTGAGAAATGTGATAAAAAAAAGTTAAACTTAATCACGCCCGAAAAGCCTTCACAAGTTTGTAATGTCGTTAGTCATCGTTAAGGTTGAAGGCGACCAATGAATCATTATCTGATAGATAATCTTATGATTACAACGCTTTATGTCCTTCCTTGGATATCAGGAAAATATTTTGATTTAATAAGTCTTTTTATAGATACTATATGTACATATACGAATATATTTTCTCGAATTAATTATTAACACTCAGATATTTAAGATTGTATGCGATATAAACAATTTAAATTCTTTTGTCTTTTTACAGAAAAATATTAAAGTCAAACAGAACAAGCACAAAATTATTCTGTAATCATATATTTATGAAAATTTTAAAGTCTTATGTAGCAACTGCGCCGTGATATGTTGATCGATTAATTACATGTTATGAAGCTCAAGAGTATTTGTAATATCAATTTTCATGCAAAATTATCAGTTTATAAGTTTTTAATGAGAAATTTATATATAAATATTAAATATATTAAGCGATTTTGGATTGTTTACATAATTCATATAGTAAAAGAAAACAAACAACACTAAACACGTCGTATTTATAAAAATCCTTGCATCTAAAAAAAAATGATCTTATATTAAATAATGATAACGAAATTTTATTTCATGGTAAGGGCCAAATCCTACGAAAAATATCTTAAACCTTTATGCCCAGTAGTTTTTGCAGTGCGTACATGCCTACATGCGTGCGCGTATATGCGTACAACTACACAATTTTATTAAACTACAACAAAGTTTTTTTTAATACTATGAGATTTGTTATTAATTATATCAATTGAATTTGAATGAAATTAATTCATCAAAAGTTATTTTATAATGTTACATTTATAGATGTTCAAACCATTATGTTCAGTTTTATTTTTAATTCTAAATTTTAAATAATATTTAACAGTTTGTACAAATGATAAATTAATTGAGAATACTTAAGCACTTGGATTATTAACAGATCAATCTAACCTAAGTGGCTTTAGTTTCCACTATTTCATTGTAAGATATATTATTCTTGGAATATACTTGAAACAATGACGGTAATAAATACGAATTAAAATAGGAATAAATAACAGTAATCATTGATAAAAGACTTTTTATTATCATACATTAAAAGTACCAAAATGCAGCAATAAACATTCCATTTGTACAGTAATAAGGTTTAAATTATAATTATTTTTTATAATTTGCAAGTCTTGCATATCTGATTATATTCATATACGGCGTATTCAACAAATGAGGGTAGCTAGCAGTCTGATGAGAATACATTTTATGACCCTCCTCCCTAATAAAGCAAACATAAAAGTATTACTAGCTGTACCCTGGTACAATTTTTATGTGTTCTTTATTACTTTACTTATTTGGTCCACAACTTCGGTTATGTGCGTTATAAAGGAGAGAATGAAAATGTGTTTTTCATCACCAAGAAATTAAACGGAGACGGAGTTGTTTTATGACATAATTTACAATTTCAATATTTTATTTACTAATGGAAAATTTTAATTTTATCTTGATGTTATAATAAATTGATTTGTCTGTTCTGATAGAGTTTCTTCTAAAAGAAAACTTATTTAACTTATATTACGTATATGTACATATATTATGTGTTAGACAGTAATTTAGTTCATTCATATGCAAAGTTTAGACACAAGTAAGTTCTTAAAGAGACACCAAGTTTATCCTTAAAGGTATTTAAGGTGTTAGGAACAAATATATTACCTCAATTAGATAAACTGTAATTTTAACATTGTGGCTTAAAATCATTATTAAATCCTTATTAACTTTTCATCCTAAGTCAACTGTGAGAAATTTTCTTTATTCTTACAATGTCGGATAAAAAAATACGATTCAATGAGTACGGATTGAGGTCAAACACATCACACGAAATTATGAACTTATTCCAAAGGTTTTGTGAGTGTTTATAAAAGAAATATCTATTATTATTAATTTTGGCACCACAAACATTCATACGTATATATGTACATATATATGTATATAAGAAGGAGAAAGAAATGCAATAAAAGAAACGTGCCTTATTTTTAGATTTCAATTAAGAGAAGTATGTTAGTGTGGGATAGTTGGGAAGCCTGAACGGTGAACATCAGTATTCGCTTCTTCACTTGCCCGTGACCATTAAGTCAATTGGATTTGCAGCTCATTACGTATATTGTTTGATTAATTATTGATTACTGTTATTTGAAACACTCAGAAGAATTTTTGTCCATAATGGTATCAATTGATATATAAATTGATGTATCCAATACCTTGCGTATCATTTAATAAAGATACTCAACTATAATACTTAATTAATCCTCTAAGAAGCAATGTACAAACTACATTGAATTCTACTTCCTGATTTAGTCGTATACGTTAGTAGTTAAAGGACTGTCTAATATATTATGTAATATCGCATATTCCTAGTGCTATATTCATAAAATCCATTTCAGTGAATGCGAAATGTAAAGGACGGACAGCCGTTGCCTGCTTTCAGACGGAGTTTCAATGTATACCTCTGACGGGTCCTAATGAAAATTGGCAGTTCACTGGATCGAACAAACTTAACCCATGTGTTTTTGCCATTGTAAATTAAGCTCTATTATTATACACAATGGGGTATTCTTTCGTTGTAGTAGTGAAACAATCCGATTTAAAATTAGCAGAGTAAATGCAGTTACATTTTGGAGTATTATTATACTTTTAAAAGAATGTCAGTGATAAGGCTTTTCCATTATTATCTTTATTACACTGGAGTATTTACTGTATGATTTATAACTTAACCTCATTTTTGGTTTTCCTTTCCAAAACTCTAATATTGTATAAACACGAATACGAAGTAAATCAAACTATTCATAAATTCCACATTGTTCACTTAATGTAGGATCGATTGATGTTGAAAGGCAAACTTGGTGTCTCTAAGTTGTCTCTTGAAACTTGTCATTAGTTCATTGCCTTGATTAGTTGCAAGCAGGGAGGATACTTTATACTCAAGGGGGTAAGGGTGTTAACCCACCGTTCTGTTTAATGTTTCACGACCGTGAGCGGTGGATCGTTTATTTCGTAATTGGAACTGAAAAAACAGTCCAAGCAACGTTTGCCGCTATTCTACTTTGTCGTGACTTTCGACCTCAGTATGCCTGAATGCTAAATGCGATAAGACACCGCCTCAGTTAAGTCTTCTTTATTTTATTGTAAAAGAGATTTTATTCCTTTATTAATTATTTATACGCTTAGCTGGAAGATTCTCTCTAATGTAGTTGATTTTGTAGAATTGAATTACAATGCAATCGTATTCTAGAGACTTTTTAAGCTGCATTTCTTTTTTATTTATAATGGCTTTAATGAATACGTTATCCATTTAGGGCAATTTTAGGTCTTGTGTATTTATTTAAAACATATGAGGCATAAAAAATATAACAAGTAATACCGTTAGGCAAAATTCAAAATATTTACATCCAATAACTTACTTGGTCCAATTTGAGTAGTTCCTCAGGGGTATCCGGGAGTTGTCCCAGCATTAGAGGTGGGTTGATGTTGACCTCTTTGCCTAGAGATCTAACCACTTCTTCGCGATTGTAACGGTCAGCGAAGACACAGGATGCGGGTATTAGGCCATGTACAGTATAACTGATCGCTCGCACGAGAATCCTAATAAGAAAAGTGGAAATAAGATGGCAAGTTATAAATATTTAACATAATATAACAGTGTTTAAAAATGTTAGTAAGAAATTGATTTCACGAGGAATGTATTTATTATAATGCGTCACAGTATTTACTTCTAAAATGTAAATTAAAGCTGCGGTTTTTCCTCAATTAGGACGTAATTTAATCCTAAATTGGGAAAGTTCGAATAGAATATTGTTTGTTTCTGTTAAAGTAACTGTTATTTAAAAGGTATTACATTGTAATCGGTCGAAATGGTATTTACACAGCTCCTATCACTTTAAACGTTTATTAAAATTTGTTTGTTGAGTTTATCAAAAACGTATTACAAAATGTGTTTGTGTTTATCTAATTTTGAGGTAAAAGACAATTATACTTAGGGTTGCTTGTAATATTTATTTGAATGTCTATAGAAATTGGTTTTAAGGTAATTTTGGCTTACAGTTTTATTTTGTCTAAAGCAATTTATTTAAAATTAGACATGGATCTAAAAACTTTCGATACAATATAAATAGCCGAGTCAGATAGAAAATAATAATTTGTTACCAGTACTTCACTCAAATTTATACTTCAACTAAAACCTAGTGTTAAATAACTGAAATAGCTCTCCTTCACATAAAATCTGCTTAAAAAATAGAGATGCTTTAATTAAATTCCGTGTTTTAATATAGCGTCTCAGTTTTCCTATGAAGGGAATAATGAAAATGCTTGCATTCTCTGCGAATATCTCCAGAATCTCCGCCTGCAATTCCTATGCGAAGGGAGACATTTTTTGTGACGTGTCCTGATTTCATGACGTCATACTTATCTTTATATAAACTTCAAGCAACAAAAGCGATTCGAATATAATACAACTGTTAATTTTGTAATGTTAGCAGGAATTTATCTATTGCTATGCACACGTGGCAGTACAGTCTCAGTATTTGCGTGGCGGCATTATTTATTCATTCACCCTAATGTGAGAGAAACGTAAGTCCCAAAGCATAAGAGGGCTTTATAAGTCACATTAATGTAAAACACGCAGAACTTCCTTTCAAATTCTCCTTTCGGGGACCGTCTCGTTAGAAGTTGAGAATGATGTCTGTGAGAAAATTACAATGAAAATTATTTATAATGTTACAAAGTATTTCTTTGAATATTTAAAGATTGATAAGCGATTAACTTTTAATATTAATAGTTGTTTAAAGGTTTTTATTTTATTCACTTTATTGAAATACTAAACTTCACGATACAGTCAGAAAAATACAATTAACAATGACCTCTTAATGAAAGGATAAACAATTTAATTTCAATTTTCTTTTTTGGTTTGTATAATGAAAAGTGGACTAGTATATAAGTAATAGAATTCACGTCAATCATTATTGATTCGATTTAAAATTGAATATGATTTACAAGTATATCCTATAAACAAACTTTTATTCTATATCACATACACGTTTTTTATTGTGTTTTGTTAATATTAAACCAAACGGTAACTTAGTTTTATTAATGATGTTTGGGAAGTATAGTGCACTTGACTTGGATCCCCAATGGATTTAAGTGTGGGTCAACTTAACAGTTTCAATTTTGAATAAGCTAAAAGTTAAATTATGAAATAAATGAAATGATATATTAATAATCAAATATTGTATGGATCTCTTATTTTAATCTGCTAGTTATAACATTGTATAGACAAAAAGATTATAACAAGAGAAGGAAGCAATATAATAGTCAACCCACATACCTTAAGATTGCTACATAAAAGTTATGTCTATTGTTATATAGACACAGGAGTATAGTTTTATTAAAGTTGTTCGTAGTATATTACTTGCTATTCTTAGCTTAAAATTCCCGGCGGAGTCACAACTACGAGTAAACGTATTGGATTGAAACCGAGTGAATTGTTACAATTTAACTAAATACACGAGCTTCATAGTAAAGCTATGAATTAGTAATACCGGCTTATTAAAGCTATAGAAAAGTAGTTACAAGTAATTATTTTCATATTGTATTCATGTTCTATTAAAAATATGTTTGTATTAATTGTTAGAAGATGATATTCAAACAGTAGTGTAAATAGACTGTTAATGAAACTTGATATTGTTCTTGCAACGCAATCATTATTATAAATAGGAACATATATACATATGTTACATTTCAATTAAACTATTGCGTAATTAATATTGAATTGTGATTAAATTTTACAAGAAAATTTGTGTTTAAAACAAAGTTTCTATCAAATTATAATATATATTGCATTTTATAACATGTAATACTTGTTGATATTTATTCCTATTTGCTTTTAAAAAGTATATATGGAAAATTTTATTAAATATGAGGCAAAACTTCGATATAGGTTGCCCCAATAATGATACTCTTCATGTTGATATTGAAAGGACAACAAATTGAAATGGAAATCTTATCAGATTCAAATCAACGAAAGGAAATGAGATGGTCGTCTCTGGCGGTAAAGACGCAATGTGCCATTTAAGTGAATTTACAGGGACATTTCATACCTTTCTTAATCAAAAGTTTTTAAATACCTTTTATTACACATGACTTTTGAAAGTTAATATTAATTTATAAATTAATATTATAAGTTTGACAGTTTTTGGTAAGGAAATGAAAATATAGGTTATGTTTATAAACTTCATACATAAAAGAAAGACGTGTGAATTAGACTATTTATAGCTCAAGAACAGTTGTAGGGATAAGGTTTAAAATTGGTGGAGAGATAGTTTAAAACAAGGAAGAGGACAAAGGATACTTTTCACCCGATTGAAAAAGAAAAAAGAATAAGTTGATCGAATCCAAAATCTTTAAGTAGGAATAGAGTTCGCCCTGTCAGCTATACATTTTTAATTCTGAAACTAACACAGACAAAGACGCGGGCAAATATGAAATGAAGTGACGGAATTATTGATTTTGGGAGATAGTTTTACCTTACTTGTAACTATGTTAATAACCTATTATTATTTACATTACAATATTAGCCATTTATGTTATATATATATAATTTTAGGCTATATATGATAATATTTTATTAAATGTAAAAAATTATTAACGGGAAAAATTATCTTTCAATGTATTTTGAAATATAACCAATAAAAAAATACTAATTGATTCTTCAAAATTTTAAAAAGTTAATTAATCTCATATTTTTTTATACTTTAATATCGTTTTAATTTAAGGTAATTAGTGGTTTATTTATTTCGTATTACTTTTTTTAAATGTGTGTTTAATTATTACATAACATGGCCATGGCCTATAAGAATTTCATTAGTTTAAAATTAATTTAACAAATAATAACAGGTTATAAAACCATATAAATAAATTAAAATAGTGTTGCCATATTGATAAACAATAGATTAATCTCCCTGTATTTTGTATTCCCGTGCAATTTCAAAGGTTTTTGTTTTTTTTGGCAATTACGCAAATTGGAAGTTGTATGTTACATGTAATTACAGATTTATGTTGTGTATATTTATGTATTAACAATCAATATCAGGGATTTTTTAACTTCTACTTAAATAACAATAAGCTTTTTAAACTATTTTGAGCTTAAATAACAAAATCAAAAAATATATATTTTGAGATCTCTGTTGTAAGAAAATTTGGACTGTACATCGTTGCTTATTATGTGTCACAGTAACTCGCTTCTCAGAAACTTGACTAATATGGCATTTTAGACTGAGAGCATGTTATAAATGTTGCTCGTAAGTGTAACCTTTACTTGGAAAACTATAGTCTCAGCTTTAGAAAGTAATGAAGAACTTGAATAATGACTTGAAGTACCTAGTTTAAGATATCAAATTGTCTTAAATGTAATATATTTCATTACAAAAGTTTTGTGTTTTTAGTTATTAACTAGCACATCATGAATCTTGATCGAAGATGATGCATTTTTTTTTTCATAGAAGGTTGAAAATTCTGCCCGTCACTCGTGGACTTTAAGTTTGAAATATACATTAAAAGTTCAGACCTACGATCACTTTTTTGCGAAACAAACCGGTTTCCGTGGTGAAACGTAATTTCAAAAAGTTAAAGGGCCATGTCGAGCCATCTGGACGTTCATGATGCACTCCAGATAAAATTTCCCTAAACGCGGGCAGGTGGAATTTCACCGGGATAAAACTCTCAAATTGCACTGAACAAACATAAACAACATAATAAATTTATATTATAAACAGAAATTTGATGACGCACCAGTTTAATATTATTGTTATTTCATTAGAAGTTGTTTAATTAAATTCCCTTCCTGCTGAAAGATGTATTAGAGAACATTTCAAATGTTCTCAATAAATATTCGAAAGCTATTCAGAGTAATGAAAATTTCAAACATTGCAATAATGTTGAATTAGTCTGTTAAATGATTACATTGCAGTGCATTCAGAGAACTTGCCTTTGAATCACTAATTGATATGTTTTGTTATTTAAATGGATGTGAAATAACATGTTATACATACATACATTTAATAAATAGAGAAATAATTTTATACCTGAATTGGTCTCTTGCATTAAGAGTTTCTTGCTTTATTGAAAGGATAACGGGGCCCAAATCTTCGTCATTGGTAAAATAGTTCCAATGTTCAGTGCCATAGAAGTATTTTTCGTACGTTTCCTGTTCGACTGATGTAAGTTCGAAGCCACCGGATCTTTCCCATTGCTCTTCGATAGCTGTTTTCTTCTTCGGCGTACTTCCACCATTATCGCTGCTATCTTCTGCGGCTTCATCCAAGGAACCTGACCTTCTACGTCGATCTGAGTAATAATATTCATATTAGTTTTATAATCTACAGTATAAACACATATCATTTAAATTTTATTCGGTGTCAAAAATAAGTTGCTTGAAGACACGTTTATGCAACAAATTTTAAAGTTATATATTCATCATAATGGTAAACTAAGTGAAAATTTTAAAGATAAATTCAGAATAGAAGTAAGAGCTTCCTGGAGAAAAAAAAATTTTAAAAGCAAACTATGTACAATCTTGACAAAAAATGTACAATAGTGTACAATAAATTGAAATAATACTGAAGCGTATTTATAGCTTCAAATTATATAATTGAATTACACACAGCTGTAGTTTAGTGCTATGCACTTAACATAATTATTATTTGATACTTTAAACTGACAAGGATATAGTACAGATTAACACTGTTATGGTGTTACACTTGTGTCATAAATCATAATTAATATATCTCTTATATGCGATTGCATTCATGCAAGACAAAATGAAATTGGTATCAAGATTTCAAGCACATAGTTTCTATGAAATTTTGAAAACCAATATAGTGGTATATGAAATCATAAAAAAATTCGTTTCGTTAAATGTGTCTATCATATTTTTTGAAAGCAAAAAGTAAATCGGCTATATGGCGTGTCATTCCCGGTTATTGAATTACCAAAACCGAATGTGAGCTTATATTATAATATCACCTACATACCATATAATTTGACACGCCAAGAGTTTTATGACATTTGTTTCATATCCTTTTGGTGTAATGAAAAATGTATTTTTAATGTTACCTGGAAATTATTGGATTCTGTTATTCATTTTGAAATTGATGAAAAGGATTCACAGTGAGTGGAATTGAAATACTCGTACATGTTTTATTAATCAAAAGTATAGACAAACTTACGTACTTTAATTATAATGAAAGATATATTATTGTATTATACTGCCATTGTTATATCTATAAGCCTTTTGTGAAAGCTATTATTTCGTGGATTGCTTTTACAGTGATGCAGGTACAATGTTATCCGTCAGGTTAACTGTTAATTTAGGATCATAGTACCCATTTTATGTTCACAAAGAAATTTTAATGTCAATCACCTTTCATAGCTGGCGGTATTGGTTTTGAAATTTTAATATCAACTACCTATATGATTTTATACGCCTTTTATAAGTAATTTGAAAATCGCAGACTTTTGTTTGTTGTTCAATGTCCTTATTTATTTACAACATATTTATATAATTTTCTCATGCCTGTTATTTTATTAAAACTATCGCATTAAGGTTTATATAAAAAATCCGTGAATATTTATCTCGTTATTCATATTTAAACTCACAATAATATTAATTACTTCAAATGTTTACTTATTTTAAACATGGTTTTTTATTTTTATAAAACTATATTTTAACTATTTATTAATACCTATAATGTAATAAAATAAAATCCCATAATTTTTAACAAGCAATATTTATATACCAGCAATATAACACTGGTCGCAATAAACTAAGAATATTAATTTTATGCTCATTTTTTACTTTTATATTAATTATTCGAGTAACGCGATGGATTCTTTCAAAATATATCGACATATTAATAAAAGAACATGTTCTTTACTTATGATGTAATCAAATTTTATGTTAGTGGAGTTAATCTTAAAAATATGTAAAACACTGTCAGCATTACACACACATGCATGGCTTGCTTGTGAGGTTTGTCCATAGAATGTGTCGAGTTTAAAGAGCTTTTGGATGGGTTTGTATGAACTTTCATAACAAAATCATTTTCAACATCGGTGCGAGCATGTTGTTGATATATATAATGTTATAGTTGAAAATAAGTCTCCAGTTATATTTTGGAAATAAATTAATAGGCGTATACCGTCCGTTTAAATGTATTCACATATATTTAGGGAACGGAACACGCTATTCCTTTAAAAAGATTATGCAAAATATTTCTATACGTTTAGCATCGATGTTTGAGTTTAATCCTTAGTAAATCTTAGAATCGCCTTGTTTAACTTCATTCCCTGAATCCATATTGTTTTTTGTACATTTCATTACTTTCTAAGTACGAGAATTCTCAAAAACAACATTTCCAATAATTCTTCGTAAAATTCGAAGCTATTATTAAAACTGAATAAAAAAGCCTTTTAATAAGGCTTCTTGAGCATTTATAGGAAAATGGAATTTAAAACTAAATATTCAATTTAGATGTACTTCATAAAAGTAAATAATTCTGACTACTTTTAGAAATCATAAGTTCAACATATTTTCGTATTGGAAAGTGGCGAAAGATTCTAATAAATGCTAAAAGCATTTGCTAAAACTATTTTTCAAGCTACATATTTTGTATGTTAAAGAATATAGTTAATATTTCTAAACTAACGCCCACGTAAGGGCTATTTAAAAGCTTATCTTAGACGTTGAAAGACGTAGTAAGCTGTTCGCACCTGAATTAACTTGAATGTTGAGTTAAGTTTTTTTTTATAAGGTTTTAAAAAATGAGTAACATTCTTAGATGACCTTCCAACCATTGTACAGTTAAAATGACAATTTAACTGTTATCGACTCAGCAATTAACTATTTCTTATATATTAAAACAAAAACAAATAAATTAAACGTCAGTATATAATAAATTGGATTTTATATTTGATAGCTCCATTACTACAATTGGTAATGCCTCAAAACTTTTGAATGTTTATTCTGCGGAACTGACATCATGTCACCGTAAATTATTAAAAATGAGCCTTTCTCTCATGCGGAATTATTCGGTAAAATCAGGGTGACATTTTCCCTTTGTCACGTCGTAAAATAACCGACACAAATTTTGAGGCAAACAAATTTTGTCATTAGTAACTCATATGTAACATTTTCCTTACGGTGTTACAAATTAAATATTATTAGAAAATATAAGATATATTGTCATATAAAAATAAATAAGTTTTTAGAGCTCCATTATATATTTCATTGTGTATATAAATGGAAAGAAGTTTTTTTGCTATCCAAGGTCTACTTTAGTTATTTAAAATAAAAAAGGTCGAACCTTAAGCTAGCGGGGAATTGTCACGGGAAGGATTCTTTAGAACTCAACAACTTGAAATGAGAAATGAATATTTTATGTCCTTTGAATTGGTGCTAACGTACGTAGAAACGAGAGTACCTCGACATTGCATTTTTATGTAGGGAGGTCTTTTTCTAGTTAGTTATAACTAGATAAGTTTAGATTGTTATACTAAATAAACAATATAAAAAATGCAAAAATTGATAGAAAAAAAAAACGCAAACGAATTATTTACTTGTATATTTATTTAATTAAACAAATTGATATTTTGGTTTTTGCGTTTTTTATGTATAAAACTAAAAATGATAAGTTCAAAATAGTGTTGTTTATTGCTTAAAGTAGACCCAATAGTATTTACGTGTTGTAAAAACATTCGGGTCCATAATTTTAAATAAGTACTTGAATAAAAAACGACGGTCTCATGTGACTAAAATAAAAAAAATCCTGGACTACATCCAAGAGACCTCATTATCCTTTATGATCTGGGTAACAATTCATTCATGAAGCTAACAGTATGAGTTGCGTCCTTGGGTCAACTTTAACCACACTAAAGTAGTGCAGAGTCACCGCATCTTAATTTTTGCTACTTAGGACGTACGTTAAGCGGTTACCTAACAGTAAAGAAACAGTAACGTGGACTGGTGGATATCTGTGAGCTAATCAAAGCCATTCAGATATGTCTAATGGCTTATTAATAAACAAAACATATTGTATAAAAAGTAAGAAGTATTAAGCTAAGAAGAATGACGTGCACGAGAATTACTCATATGTAAATATTATTCAACGTTGGTGTAAATTAAATTACCTCAACAATTCACCAACAAAATTAAAATAATGTATGCTGACTCCGACTGGTTTCAATTATTGTTACTCGTGTTAAACTTAATGAATTTTATTTCATTGGTTTTTCGATTAAATTTATTTAACTCTTTCGAATTAAAGAATGTTTTTGATAAATATTTCGCAAAATCTTCTTAAATAAAGCAATTTGTAAACATTTATAATGAACATTTCTGTTAATTTCATACATGCATATAATTTCTCGTTCAATATCCAGGGTTGTATGAGGTCAAAAGATAAGATCAATAAATACCTCGATGTAATCAGTTTGAAAGCCATCACCAGGAAAATAGATCCGAACATTTTGTACAATAGTTAGGAAATGAAGTTGCTATATTAAACTACAACTATCTAGCTCGAGTCGTAACGATATTGACTTCGGGGGATACTCAAGGCTTTGTTTGTGAACTATTGTTACCCAGGTGTTCATTACTTGCTTCTAGTTAATAAATGTTATTAAAAATACTCTTTTTTTAAATAGACACTACAGTTTTATTTTCTTATTAATCATGGAAAACTTAAATGAGATTCTAAAACAGAGAGAAAGTATTTAAAATATTTGCATAGTATGTAAAGAAATTTACAACTAATTTTATTTTGATTCATAAAAATTTATTTCACTTCTTGTTAAAGATTTTTTATCTATATGTTATTAAATAATTATTATAAACCTGTTTAACTTGATACATATAAAAGATCTTTAAAATAAAAGATACATTTTAATGTAATACAATATATCTTATAACATTTTCATACATTTTAATAAATCATCAGAATTCCAAAGGTAACAGCTGTAAGATGGATTTATGCAAAAAAATATAAATCAATAAGTGTACTTTGAGTATTCAGAATAAGTAATTTCTCTACAGAAATGTTTGTGATGAAACAAGACACTCTGAGGCGCCAAAGTTCTTCACCCTCAGATAATGCGTCGATGAATTGAAAACGTGTATTGAATGAAATGGAATGGATGGGACTATAATGATTGTAGAGGACCTTGTTTTAAAATGATTGATTATATGAGATACGTATTGTATTTTAAAATTGTATCTTAATAAGTCCTGACATTTATTATCTGGGAGCTTATTGAACAAAGGATTAATTTACTTATACATATGTATGAAATGATTAGTTTTTATTTGAATTTGAGGACAAATATTTAAATTTACATCATAAAACTACGCCAAATATAAGAACAAATATAGTGAAAAGGAAACATAATATGTTAATTGACTTTTAAAAGAATTGCTATCATTATTATAACAATAAGAAAGATTTATAATTATTCTTAAGTAACATCCTACCAGGAATATCAATTAAAAATAGATATTTTTTTACTAATTTAAACTAACTTTCTTATACATAGGTATAAGTATTAATAAATATCAATTCCTATAACAAATTTAGCCTCTACTAACACATTAACACCCCTTGAAAAGCGTGTTACGTTTCATAACTGAACTTTTATAATTAATTTTATTAAAATCGGAAAACTTTTCCAGAATATTCTCAGTAACTGAATAAGGTATGAAATATATTTTGGTGTTAAATTTCCACATTGAGTTTCATAACTTGTACGTTATTTTTAATATAAATTTTTTGCACTAATTGGAATCGATCAATTATTTTGATAATTTTCGAAATTGTCTTCATTTAAAATATTTATAATGTAATGTGGTTAAAATGTATAAATTTATAAAAAAATATATTTTGTGTAAGAGATAGCAGTTTATGATAAGTAATTTTATTAGTTAAAATTAAAAAAAAAATCTTAGTAATATGGAACAAGTAAGTTTAAATTTAAACCGATAATATCGTGAATCGCAACAAGACAGTTCTGTGACAAAATTTTCATACAAGCATGGTTCTTGAGGAAAACATAAACTGAGAAATCAAAACAAAGACGTGTCTTATTGTTGGAAAACAGATTGCCATTAAGCAGAAACCATTAAAAAAACATGAATTTGTAGTGTCATATTCTTAATTGTGTATAACTTACGTAGGAATTACATCTTCAAAAATATTAAAAAATATTTGGCTTAAAATTCATAAATATATGTATGTATAGTGTAGGTATAGCAAATATTTTCTTACTTTTCACGAAAACAATATAATATCACTTGGGACTAGGTTTTCATGTCTTATTTCGTGATTGATGCCTTCTCAACTTCTGACTATCTATAAGTTGTATACACATAGGTTTGGTTCAAGGTAATTCTTAATTTACTAATAAAGAAGATCCCTACTTGAGAATTTTTTTCGGATCACAAAAATAGCGAAGTATTATTATTGAAGTGAAGGAATTATTTTTAAGATTCTTTAATTTACCTGACCATATTAAATGTTATTATATTAAAATAACTATTATATTCTAGTTAGTGGGTCTTAGTTATAAATCGGATATTTTTTTATTTTAAATTGTTATTATTTTATTATGACTTTTTCTTTTTTGTTATTAATTGTTAAACGAATGCCATTTGAATTGAATGTATATGAGGAAAATAGTTTTTCAAATTAATTACATTTGTGAATATCAATAGGTACATATGTTTATACACAAAATATATATTATAATTTAGTAACAATAAATTGCTTTGGTGATTATTCTTATATCACCGAGGTCATTAAGGAAGGGTGATCAAGATTCAAAAAGCGTAACATTAAGACTTGAATCCCTAAATTCTTATTTAATTAATAATATTTTGTATGTTTCGTGTTATAAATTTGTTTAGATAAAATGAAAAAAATTAGATAGCATTATATTCAAACAAATTTAAGTGAAGTTAAAAGCACTCAAAGGTAAAATCAACAAAATTAACAACGTTATAGTCTTTTGTGGTCGAAAAGGACTTTGGTTTACTTTTAATAGGCTTATTTAAGGAAAGCCTACCATTTATTGACGAAGCTATTGAAAAGCCTGGGTTGCTTACACAGCACATTACATTAATAAAAATTACAAATGCTACTTAAATATTGTTATGAAATGTTTTATTCGTTTGAGCGTTTAGAGAGAACGTTAACATAAATTCAGAAGAAAGACGTGCTCATAAAGTATCATACTCTTTAAAGAAAGTTTATCTGAACAAATAAATTCGAAAGGTTATTTATTGGGATTGAATTGAATGTTATTGCTATTCCAATAACTCGTCATTGTCTACGATCATTGTGAGTTTATTTTCAGAGCCAATTAAAGCTGCTATTAAACAACCTTTACAAATTTCAAATATCTGCATTTTCCTTGACCGTTGCTATTTCTATTAATGAAAATCGAGTCTAAATTATTTTTAGTGTTTAACTATAGTGAGCGAGTCAATAGACTAATAAGTTTTACATAAACTGTTTTAGAATTTATTTATTTATAATAAAAATATGATTGAACAATTCATTTAATGAATGAACTGTTACGATAGTTATTTGAATGGATCACTCAATCTTACTTGGAATAATTATCAATTCAATGAAGGGGTAAATAGAAAAATTCAATTACAGTGTACATCTGAGTCATTGGGAGCAAATTGAATTTGATTCAGTGACCAGTCACGCTACTGCCATAAGTCACCGACTCGGGAGTCATAAAAGGTATAATAATTTATTGCTCGTTGTATGCCATAGTTTGTTATTTTAGATTGCCTCTGAAATGAATTAAACGTTTTATGTTTTTTTGCACTATTTTGGAGATTTGGCCAACTCTATATGTTTCTAATTATCTTATGAAAATGTTCCTAGAAATTATTTCACTCATTCCAATATTAACATTATTAAGATAATAAAATGTTCTTTGTCACTTTAGACGGATCTTAAGAAAATTCTGTATGAAGAAGTCGAATTCTACCATCACGCATAACGATTTTTTACTATTTAAGTATACACTGAAATATGGATAGATTAAAGTATTTGAAACGTATCTTCTATAATCTATATTAAGTTACTTATCTTCAATTTGATAATAAGACCAAATTTTTTTAAATATTTTTTTGTAATGTGCCATTATTATTATAAGAGTAACATTCCAAATAGATAACAGTAGTATTATAAGATTAATCTTTTTGAAATAAAGCATTTTTACAAATTTTAATATTAAAATAATGCTACTGAAATAATGCTATATGAATTGCTTGGTGGTGCATATTTAATTATGACCATCCCCAACGCAAATTAACGCGTATGAATATAATTCTAGAGAAATATTCAGACCGGTTTACGATATTTTATTATTGAACAGACAATATTAATATCATATTATAAATTATTTACATATTTCATACTAGTATTGTGGAATAATTATAATTATGAAGTACTAAATGTAAAATTTTGTTCTCTTATATATATATTTTTATATTGTATATGTTATAGTCTGTATATAAAATCACATCCCAACTACATCAAATATTCTTGAGCTTCTTTAAAGTAGAAAAGCTTGGTATTCTTTTACCTAGTTTCCACTTGTTTAATTCTTTATAGTGTTTGTTTTCGACTTTGTCATTCTACGACTGTTTCAAATTGAATTTGATTTTGTTTATTTGTTATCATTTATTTATTTAGAGAGACAAATATAACTGTGTTAAATATAATGCATGTTGTATATTTTAGTGTTATTTATAATTTTATAAAGGTTAGGTAAAAAGTCTAAGTCGTTTTGGTCATTTGTCATACTTCTATACTCTTTTGGTAGTAATAAATTCGCTTGATTAAGGTTTCCAAGTTAAGACTTCTAATTTCCTTGTCTTTTAATTAAAATATTAACAATGTTAAACGTTCTCGTGAAATTCATGTGCATTTCAAAACCTACTTTCCTGTCTCTGGAGAACGGAGCGTTATTTCGTAGATGGGGGATTTTATAACCCCAACTGTATACTTATTAATATATGTATATATTTAAAATTGCATACTAAACTGACTGAATTTTTAGATATGTTATTTAATTTTAATTGTCAATGTATAAATCATCATTTCATACCTGAATCATCTCTGTCTGGACCACTGTCATGTTCAGATTCTGATTCATCCCAAATGGTGTCTGTGGTGATCTTCTGACGCGAGCACTCGATCCAGTATCCCGGTGTAGGAATCAGATTGTGTGGGTATTCTTCGCAGAACTCATCTGAAAAAATATTACATTGAGAAAAAAACAATAAACAATCATCTGAACGTATAGGCAAGGCAAGACACCAAATATATAAAGTAAACGCACATCATATCGCTCTATGATCATTTCTTCTTAGATGGCCACATATAAATCAGATTGGATTATTTCTTAGACGAAATCTCTGATGGCTTATGTTTGGGTGTGTGCCAGTTTTATAATATTATCTGTTGAGCTGCCGTTCGTAATTTGAAAAGTTCTTTTATTAGCAAACTCTCTGGAGGGGCTTAAGCTATAGCGGGAAATCCAAAACTCGCGAACTGGATAAATCCGGTTTACTTGATAACTTTTTTGGTAAACCCCTTTTTTATTTGGACGTTTAACTTGGTCGCTATAACTGTATTAATTTTATGGTGTTTTACTACCTGACAAGAATGTTAATATTCCAAAACCAGTCTAAGACGAGATCGAGTAAGAAAATTTACTTTGTTATTACTTTAAATATAAAATTAATAAATCGATCATAGAAATATTAATATAGGTATGTGTTATTATTATTTGTTAGTAACATTCATCTTATACGTGGCAGAATACATTGATGTTTCTTCCTTATAATACCCATAGCTCGACTAATAAAATTTCTATGATTTGTTAAAAAATATATACATATCTGTTTGCATCAAGAAAGTTTTCCCATATTTATAAATAAAACATAAGTCCATGAAAATAATTCTATACTAGAAAATATCACAAATGTATGTCCAGGAATAGCAAGAAATTCTATTTTATAGCGACGAACCAATAATATCTTGTCATGATTTGATGCAGAAAACTTAATATAGAAGCGATGCCCCATAAAGAGCTATTTTCCGGTGGGAAGGTAAAGACGAAATGGCCGTCGGGTGGCCGCTAGTTTTAGTGGGGTAAATGGATCGTCACAAATAATTAACTGTTGTCTAAAGAGAATTACATATGGCATAGATAATAAAATTGTGTACTTTGGGGTGATAACAGGTTCTTAGCATTTATTATACTGTATGTATGTTTAACATCATACTCACAACGGTATTGTATATATTTTTAGTATAGAGAAAGATTTTTTAAGCTTTAATATCTTCTGATGATCCAAACTAAAAAAATCGATTTCGTTATTGCAATCATGATAATCTTATTTAACTAGTAATTTAATTAAACGTCCTAAAACAAGTAAGAGCAATTATTATCTTCAACTAAACCCATTTCGTTCCAATTTATTGAATGTCTCTATATTATTTCATTTAAAAAAAGAGCTATATAATCGATATATATTTTTTGTTCTCATTTTAATTATGCAAGTAAATGTAATACTATATAATCCTTATAAATAGTACTTTAAATTCGAGAGGTAACGTAACTTTTTCAACGGAAAACTGGTGTCCCCAAACACCGATATTGATCGAGATTAATTTACAAAGAAATTTGTAATTTTGTATAAATTTCTCATAGCTTTTTTAATTTATTTTTTCCTAATTTTAAAATGAACAAGAAGTGTCTTATACATTGAGTTTCTCTAATGAAGCGAAATTACATTCTATATAAAAGCAATATCTTAAATTGGGATGACTTAGTTCTCAGACTTTCTATTGATTGATCTCAGATCTTCTATATTTCAAGAAAATGTTAACTTAAGTATTTACCTTAAATTAAAGCTTAGTAGGTATGTCCAATCGATTCTAAGAGAAAAGATGTTGACAAATGGGCAAAGAGAAAACAAAGGAATTTTATATGGATTTAGTTTGTACCGATTGAGATACATTACTCTAATATAACATTAATGGTATTTCATTACAAGATATTTTTAAAAAACGAAAATACAATATAATAATATCAAATATATAGGATACGAATTCAAATTTACATTGGTGCATACACTATTTGGTTATATGTTGAGTTGAAATTATTATTTTTTGGATTTACTACGCTTTTATAATTATTTTTAAAACTATATTCAAGACTTTACGACATACAGCCGATTGTGGTTACTTTGCAGCAACGGTGATCACATAAAATTTTAATAAATGGACATAGTAAAAACACTTTATTTAGATATCAAATCAAATCAAATAAAACCCCAAAATTGTATGGGTTACCTAGATTCCATAAACAAAATGTTTGCTTACTCCCTATTGTGAGCCAGATTGATTCATCAAATCATAAACTGGTCAAATTTCTTTCAAAGATATTATCACCATTTCAGGTCCACACATAACCATTTATTAGGAATAACTATCAGTTTGTTAATGATATAAAAAAACATCTAGAACTGACAAAAAATGACAATATGGTCATATTCGATGTAAAGTCATTATTAATTCTTTTACCTGTTCTTGACCTTTACCTGTTTTGACTACATCGATATTGTAAGAGGTAAGTTAAAGGATAACAATATACTCGTACCTATAGAATATAAAGAGCTACTACATAAAATATTGCCTAACATCTGGTTACCTCATGGGAAAGGATGAATTCTACATACAAGTAGTTGAAGTTGCAATGGGTTCACCAGTTTCCTTCGTTGTGGCTGTTATATTCATGGAGGAATTTAAAGCTCAAGTCCTTTGGTGTACTCCAATAAAACTTTTAATGTTTAAACGACATGTAGATAAAACCTTCATAATATTAAATGAAAATAAAACATCTGCTTTTCTGAACCACCTTAATTCTATTACTAGCAAGATTCAGTTCACTATAAAATTAGAAGCAAATAGTTCTTTACCTCTCCTTGATAAACTTGTCACTAGAAGAAATCCTGACAATACTTTGGGACATACTACCGATACTACCATATGTGAATTGAGTTACTGAAAAAATAGGCAACATTTTGAAGATGTTTCGATCAAAACTTTAAACAAACTACATAAGAAAGTGAGCCTATTCTTCAGACCTATTAAGAAAACTATTTCTTTATATCAAAAGCGGGTTTTTGTTATAAAGAAATACAAACTCGATTATGACTAAGGCTTGTCATACATTCGACAGACAAAGAGGAGCATCGGTACAGGGGTAAAGGAACATGTCTCATTATACATTAAAAATAGGCACGCATCAAAGTCAGCACTGTGTGGACACACAATAGACAAACTACGTCACTAAATTTGGTTTGATAAACCACAGATACTCGTCGGTGAAGACAGGTACAAACCAAGATTAATCTGCGAGGCTATTGAAATTAAAAAACATCGCAATTGTAATGGGGCAAATGGCTGAAATGTTCTTAATACCTGGGAACCACTCATTTAAAACATAAAATCCCATGTGACCACACCGCAAGACAACAAGACACAGTTAGCGAAATCTGCAGGAATCTACAGTGGTACTCCAGCAACTTAGACACAAGACCAGAAACGAGACATCATTGGCGGTAGACGATAAATAAAAAGACAGCTAACATAATCATATCGTCTGCCCGTGATCACGAAACGACACGTCGTTAGTATCTTGTTAAAAACAATTATAAACGCATAGTAAATCCGAAAAATATTCGTTTCATTTCAATGAATGCTTACTCATGAAAATCTTAGACCTCATCATTGATTATATGTATTATGTTACTTACTAAAACTTTGTAAATGAATATACTTTGTTTTGAGAAATCTTTAACATGATCAAATATTTAAATAGAAAATACAAACTATATGTATTATTTTAAAACGTTATTAATTTGCTAAGATATATTTTACGAAATAAAGTACAGAGTACGTATAAGCTAAAAAACAAATAAAAGAGGATTTCAAGGCATGTAACATGTAGCAATGTAGGTACGGACGGACGAACTCTATATAAAATATTTACATTGGGACCAAAGACCGACGACTCACGCTAAAAATCCGTAGAAAATTTATCACCACAAAGTTACCTCATCATTTTAGACATGCATTAAAATATTCTTCGGAGGAACATTATTGAATATTAAAATTTATTTAAAAGCAAGAAAACTTCTCTCAAAGGCTTTAGTTTCGTCGTTTATGATTGTATAGAGTGGATTTTTTTAAATCTCTTTTCAATTTACCTTCACCCTACACCTACCCGTTGTAAAGGGTTGAATTAGGGTAGTTTCCTTTTTGTGTGTATTAGCATAAAATGTGCTTGGTCCGGTTTAACCACAAATCTTATATACGTGTAATATGTTAATGGATTTTCCATAGTTTTTCTATATAGTTTTTATATACGTAGTCAATAATATATATTAAAATACCCTAAAATTTTATATAATAAGGGTTTACTTTGACAAACAAGATCGATTCCTATTAATCAACAGTTCATTAATTATTTATAATCGTTTTTATAAGTAACTTCATTAAGCAAAATAGAAAATACAAAAGTATTCAGTGTTTCTTCTTTAAGCATTACAATCTACGTATAATATAAGTTAAGCTATCTCTATATAAGTTTGTTCATACCCTTCTTGAATATATTATTTACATATATTCATTATAATTTGTATCTGCTTGATGTAAAGTACCTTCATGTATCTTCTTCCTTTGTTGTACAAAAGGCGCTCAGTTCACTGTAAGGTAGAACACCAAACTCAATAATATGCTTGGCGTTCATACTTAGAGTGAACTGAACAGCCAATAATCTTCTTCGATCTTCTTAATTCCTCATAAATCTTCCCAACTACCATGTCATATCTAGGACGTGAAAGTAAAAACATATCTTTATACTTAACATTTTTAAAACATGTTTGTTAGAAAATATGTATATTCTGTTTGATATTCATGGAAAACTAGAACAAGAATATATTTCACAATCATTTACTATGAATACGATAATACATAGTATGTAATAAGTTTAATAATAAAACTTTACAAAAATATTGGTTATCTTTTTTATTTTAATTTAGAAAAACATCTTTTAACAAACAACTAGGAGAAAAATGAAAACACGAGGTGGTAATTAAACTCAAAAAGTTCTTCGCAAACGTTGAAGAAGGCAGTATGTTTTCAAATGCTTCTTAAATTTAACAGTACTAAATAATACTTAAAGTACCTTATTATATGATCTCAACTGGAATTTAAGGTTCAAAATATCTTATTCGTTATATTAAAAAATTGCAACAATATTGGGATTCGAATTTATGAGATGTGACGTTGCCGTAGCTTTTTGATTTGTAAGCCCTATCTAACTTTAGTTATGAATTGAGACCTTAAAATATGTATATCTTCATATCGTAATAACTGAATCTTGGAGCAACAATCTTGTAAAATAACTTGAATATTAAATAACTGTGGTTTTCCATAACAATAACTTGCACTAAAAATAATATTGATTTTTATTGTTTGCTTTTTGAATATGCATCGGTGTTTCCATATGCTAATTTCTTTACTACATATATGACAACATCAGTGGCCAATTGCCATTATTAATTATTATTATTCATTGTGTTTAATAAGCTGTTATTATATGATTATTTATTATTAATTGCTACTTGCATCTATAAAACTTCACTGAATCCCATCTTTAATAAGAATTAACGTGATATTCAGAAACTAACATTCGCTTTTCATTTCATTATAGGGGATTAAAACTTTATGAGAAACGACTTGTAGGAACTTGATTAATTACTTTTTCAAAGAAACGGAGTAGAGTTGCAAAAAATATTACCTTTTGGAGGTCCTTATATAAAAAAAGTTGGCAAATAAACTTTTTCCGATTACCTTGCCTTTTTACAGAGTAAGATTTGTGATGAAATTAAATTTAATCAGCATTCATTAATCGTTATTAGAAATATCGAATTCAGTGCATTAAAATGAAAATCTCTATCTGCATGGATATAAGTTTAAATGTATGTCATACAATTAGATTGTATTTGACAAAACAAGTTTAGGCAAACAGAGAGACGAGATTACAATACAATCCCCGAAATTTCAAAAGATCCGCGACCCACATACGAATATACAAAGGAAATATTAATTTCCGTTTTTTGAAAAACATACACGTTTCATGTGCATCAGTCAACAAGATATCATTACTTGACTCCAGTTTATAAATCAAAAATATAAATTTAGGATCAAGACACGAAAAGGATTACTATGACAATTTAAAAAACTTAATATATAGACGTACTAAATAGATTAACATATATGTAAGTATATATATAACTTAAATTATATATACCACCCAATTTTATATCATGCATTATATCTATAATTAGAATTAAACTCTTGAATTAACCTTTAGGTAAAAAGATAGGTATTTGTTAAGACTGGTTCAATTTAAAAATACTAACAATTGTGCTCATCTATTTGATTCGTGGTTTCCGCTATTGATTTAATTCAGATATATTTATAAATAAGGTCGTTTTTGCGTTTACTGAATAAATGATCCGTAACACGGCAGGCGGTGGAAAGGGAAATTTTTATGAAGTTCGTGCTTTATCATTTCATGTGAAGGTTTAATTAATATTTCACTGTGTGTTTTGGCTCTTTGCAAATGTAAACCCAAAGCTTTGCTGGATTTTAATTTGTTATTTCGTTAGGTTTACGCTGTTGTATGTAAAATATATTAAAGTTGCGATATCATTCTATTATCTCTGCTTTTATTTAATTTGAATGTATATATAGAGATATACGTTCTAGCGAATAGCTGTTATTATTGCAAATAACTTTTATAGCTTAGAGAAATTTATCAAGCATAAAATAGGAGTTAAAACAAAACTTATACGGGTGGGCAAATATATTATGGATGCTAGGACGCGGCAACAAACACAATTTAGTTTGACACGGTCCAACTTTTTCCTTTAAGCCATGATACGTATCTTGAGCTTACACAATTGGATGAGAATGAAAGAAAACTTTTATTATATCAAACAGTTAACACGAGTGTAAACAAAATAAAAAAAAGATCCATATGTATAACGGAAATTGTTCTGAATTATTAAGAGATCTTTACTTCTTAATAATTTGAGAATATACCAAAAAAATTGTAAGAGAATCCAATTACTTTGGTATTTAAGTTGTGTATTTAATTTATCAATATTATTATGGTATATTTATTTCACTCTACTTTATGATAGTCATAAATTATCACTTTACTGTGTTAAATTTAAAAAAAGATGGTAAAATAAAAAAATAGTGTTTATTTTTTTAACACATTTTTTTTTAATATCTTAATTGAAGGTTTGTATCTAAATTGAATTGTAAGGTTTTAATATTTCTTTATTTAAATTTTAATTTACTTGTAGCATATTAAATAAATGGAATCTAATTTTGCCTTAGCAAACAAATTTAATTTAATCTTAAAGTTTTATTACAACCAAAATTGTAACTGAATTAAACTTAGCTAGACTATTTAGGTTTCAGTGTTGTATTTAGAGCATAACTTTTCCATATATATTTAGATATACACATACATCTATAGTTTTCACAGAGGGAAAATATTTTTATATTTTGAAGAATTAAATCAAGTGAAACATGAAATGTAGGTAAATTTTATTCTTGAAATTTAAACTTTGTAGTCATGAATATTTTAATTTTCAAAGAATTCACCAATATATTATTATTGTACGTACTATAGGAGAATTACTTATCAGGAGATCTTGAAAATATACTTCATGAAATCACTGTCATATTTAATAAAATAACATCGTTTTTAAGTTTATTAACTCACAGCCTTTACACCAATAAAAAAATCAATTGAAAATTACACTCAAAGAACAAATGTTTTGATTTTCATGTTAAAAGATCAAAAGTTTCTAAGAATCTGTCGAATTCACATTAACTAAGATATTCCTTTATCTAATAATTTAAAAATATCTAAATATATAATTGACAGCTACCTTCAGAGCAGTTTAAATATTAAAGTTGGCGGCCCTAGTACAGGGGTTCGGATGGGATGAGCCTTAAAATGTTTATACTTTTCTGCGGATTGGGATCCAACCAGGAAAAGGGGGAAATTGAGTTACCTTGCATTTAATTTCACGGATGCTGATTCCAGGGTCCTTTGTCAACCTTTAGACATTGATGGATCATGAATATTCTATAGAAGCCTTTTAGATATTACTTCTGACTGTAGCCGAAAATTTACTGATTATAGTCCAATTTATGTTCCAAAATTAACTTTAATTTCATTTATCACAATTTATCAATCCGGATAATTATTATCATTATATGTCATTAGGGATATTTTATAAACGTATAAGTTATTAAAACGTTATTTAACTCTGATTAAAATTTTCCAATTCAGTAAATATAGTTTAAATAATATAGTTTTAATATTCAACATATAATGAAAGCATATTATGTTACTCACGTCACCTGATACAACAAACCTTCAGCCCTTCAACATGTTTATTCCATTTTAGGCTGACAGTTATCGAATACACAGACAGCTGATTGAAAGCACAATGCTTGTATGAGAGAAAATCTAAATTATACAACTCCACAGGCCTTTTTTTTTTACAATAATTCGGATTTACTATATGTTTTAATACTTTTGTGTGAAGTTGATAATTCAATTGTTTTATATTACGATTCCAAAAAGAGACTTATAAATAAATTATTAATAAATCAATCAAGAAGCGGAACAAGATCATAATTTTAATAAATATAGTAACTTAAAATGTTGTATAATCTCGTTAACTGAGCACTAATTTCGCCCGAAGCTTCGGGGTAGATCTCCATTTGAATGTCACTAAATTTGAACGTAATTATTCCATTTTGGGAGTTTTGGAACATTTTGTGAGAATCGTAACGATTCGTTGACATTTTATTGTGTCAATTAAGATGAAAATTGGAACGCACCTTGTGGATTCGCATTTGTTAATGGTTTTATAATACTCTTTGATCTCGCTTAGTTTGAATTATTTCTCAGATTATATTGTTTTAAGAATATTTTCATTAAAAAATTCCATTAATAATAATCCTCAGGTTGAATTAATTTTATTTATTTAATTAAGACGTTGGAGTCGTTAGTATGCAAATTACTTCTTATTGTTTTACGCTATTTGATTGAAGTCTAAAACCTATCATATAAAAAACAATAAATGTTATTTGATAAATTTATGTATTCGTTTTTAAAATCCCATTTCAACTTTTCCTTTATAACTTGCGAAAAAAACGCCGCAACAAACTAACTTCCAATAAACTGACTGTCGTTGACGCGGTATTACATTTTTCATCTTTCAAAGCTGGTTCATTTTTTCAACTTTGTTTTTTAATTTCAGACAATTTGTTCTGTTTTAATATCATTTAGGTCATAACATCCGATAATTAAATTGTGTTTTTTTCTTATTAATTATTAATTATAACACTTTACTTAACTATAATTAAATAACAGCTACAAGCCTTGCATGTCAATGTGTAATTTTTCACCAGCAAACCTAGTGGGTATTTTAAGATACTTGTATAAATAAGGGAAAGTAAATAAAAGTTCCAATAGTTTAAATTTACCTGAGCAAGCTTGAGGTGGTAACGGGAATATGAGGGTAGTCGACGACTTGCGCCTGGCCACAGCACATCCAAGCGACTGGGGTTTAAAGCTGCGAAGCTGTTGCATGAAGTCACTGCACTCCATCAGCGCCACGTCCGCGAAGTGCAAGTCGCAGAGAATCTGATTCTTGAAACGGCGAGCACGTTTCTAGAAAATATTTTAAAGTTAGTCTTGATAATATGACTTAGGAAAACTGGTTTCGAGCAGTTTTTATATGGTTAAGAAAACTGTTCTATATTATACGCAAAATTCTTTAATTCTTTATGGCAAATTGATAAAGAGATTGTACATAATGAATATAAGTTGGCACATGACACAAAAGGAAAAAAATGTATATTTACACATAAAATAAACTTTATGAGCTTTAGTAAAAGATTATGACTGACACACAGCCTTCTTTCTGAAACATTATCTTTTCCAGTAGAAAAGTTCTGTAAACAAAGAGGACATTGAAATAAGATATCTACTTTAATATGTCAACCCTTGTCTTACGAAATCAGAAAAAGAGTCTTCAATGGATATACTAAAATAAAAAATAACATTTATATTTTTAAAGGCAAAATAAAAATATTGAATATGTTTACTTGTTTAATTGCTTATGATAATCGTTATATAAAAAAAAATAATAGTATAATCACGCAATGCTAAGATTGTATTGGTGACAATGTGTTAGATTCTGGAAAATTTTATTAGATCTGATTTATGTGACGTGTATATAATTTGTGGGTCTAATTACAACTGTCACTTACTCGTGAGGGATGACAGATGTCTGGAATCGTGAAGAGAAACTATGTAATTGTATTAAACTTTTGTAATTTTAATAATTTTAATTACAATCTTTTGTCACAGATTCTCAGACGTTAAGTTGTATAGATTGAGTGACGTAATGATTGTAATAAAGGTTAAATTTCTCCGCAAAGATTAAGCTATTTACATTCAAAGTTTGATTTAGCTAAGCAACGATTGAATAAAATATTATAGACATTAAATAAATTAAGGTAGATTTCTGTGGAGCAATTTTCATTGTTTTTAATATGCGCTGTCATGATGTATTACACGTTTTGGCAAAAGAAATCAATGGGCAAACTTAAATATGTGTGTTTATTTCGCTTCCCTTTTTTTAAAACGCCAAAAGGTTTGACGCGCCATTACAGATAATCTGCTCAAATGTTGAAAATATTTGAACACTTTGTTTTATATTTCACAAAAAATGTGTCCATATTTTTTATGGACTTAGGACATAAACTTCCGAAAGGAATGTTTCAAATTTGACATTTATCGACTGCCAGTATTTATAGTGCTTTTATTTTTATGAGAAATTACTGAAACTTTTTTGAACACATTTTTGAATTTTACTTTATCTTTTCTACACTATTAAAAAAACGAAGTACTTTTATCGACATCATGTAAAAAAAGGTATTAAGAGCGAGCAATTTATGTCAGTAAAAATTTGAAGAACTAGAATGATGTCAGCGGAAATAATTTGAAATTATCCATTTTACATCTTGGAATTTGGTTTTATGAAGTTGGGTACATAAAAGATTTGAATTTCATCTAAGAAGAGGATACTACTAAACATCTAAAGGCTTCATTATGTTATGCTATATTATAGTATCTTTAATAAAACAATTGTTTAAAAAATATATACATAATAGAAAATCCTGCTTTGTAATATAATTCTCTGAAAAGAAATTACCAATCAACTATAATTATAGAACCTTCCCCTAAACACGCACAAAGCTATTAGGAATCTGAAAGGAAGACATTCAATGCTTGCTCCAATAAAGGGTTCGATATCAATCAACATAATTGGGATGTTTTTCATTCTAAGCATGCCTTTAAGCAAAACTATTTTGATGTTATTCACTTGCTTATATACTTATAATTTTATATCATTATCAAAGCGTATTTAGTTACTATTTGTATAGTGTATGTTAAACCTGATTTTCTTATTATATAGCTTACAAAATCAGAACAATTACAACTAATCAGTCTAAGGGAAGACAATAAACCTTACTATACTTCAGGTAAGTGATTGTTTCGCTTTCATGCCACTGTAACTGGCTTCATTGTGGTTCCCTTTGATTAATTCCGTTGAAGAAAACCTTTGTAGGTGGGTTTGTTTTATCCTGATATATTTCTTATACTTGTGAAACTGATAGTACTTTCATATACAAATTGTATTTGCGATATAAAACATTTTAATTAGCTTTAAATTATCTTGTTCATTATTAAATATACAGTTTTACACGTGTTTTTTATGGTTTAGTATATTTTAACAAATTGAATTTAGTTTAATGATTCACTTTGAGCATGTAAAATATAACGTTAAATTAAAAGCGACTCTGTTAGTCGAAATAGACAAATATTTTCTTAGGCGAAGCACCATTGGTCCAGTTTTCGGACATTTACTTTGCAGTTTCAGAACTCACTCGGAATTGGATTACTTTCCAATACACTTATTTAAATTTACTAGTTTTTATTCATTTTTTTATAACCATCTTATAAATGAATATTTCTGAGAGAAATAATAAAAATAGATACCTAGCCCCAGCACTAAAATGTTTCAATTATTCAGAGCGAAGTTAAATCGTAATTAATATGGAAAATTCAATATACACAAAATGTTCCATTTACTTCAATTATAAAGGAGATCGATATGACAACATTTTGTATCGGCTGATTATGTTATAAGAACATCTTCTTATCAGAGACAAAAAGAATATTTCTTATTATTTAGAACTATGTATAATGTCAAGTTATATATAGATTTTGATTTTAATCAATTGCATATGAAACTACAAAAGACGTCAAAATCATATTAAAATAGCAATTTTCTTAAGAGTTGTTCATTTTTTGTTCAATTGCTATATCGGGGAACTATGGAAGCTTGCTACGTAATGTGTTTCCACTTTTCCTTGCCACCATTAGAAAAAATATGTTTTATATATTATATACTTGACAGATGTTTTATCATTTCCTTTGTAATGGAAATACACAGATACAATACAAAGGGTTTTCAATTGTATTATAAAGGTGTAAACACAATAGCAAATAGCAAGTAACTAAGTACACTAACAAGCAAATGTTTCGATTTCCATTTTATAATTTTAAAAGTTACCTAGTACACAAATTAGTTAAATCTAATCTAATCGAAAATAATATTTAGTGTTCAATTTCAGCGCAACTATAGGGATTTTTTGTACTATTATTATTTCAAACTAAGTATTTTTTCTATGTTACGAAACTTATCTTTTTAATATAACTTTTGTATCGAATCTGGACTTTGTAAGTGCAAATTACTTCCAAGCCTTTGATGAAGGATACTTTGACAGTCGATAATGTTGCGCAAGTTACGGTTACTGCCAATGGCTGTTCTGATTGATAGCTTCATACACAGTTAAAAGGTTTTCCCGAGCTCTTGTAAGTTAAAATAGATACATATTTTCCTCTTACATTGTTGCGATCTTTAAGGGACGTGTGTTGTTTTTAAACATTTTTATTTGTTTGAGGTATATGGGTGGCTAGCATCGTTGCTTTCAGACGGATCGACCGGGTGGAAACGGTTGCTTTTTATATGAATGCCAGTTCATGTAAGTATGTACATATGTAGTGGTCCAGTAATATAAGAGTATTAACTCTTTCCCAAAATGATGGATGGCATTTCTGGCTTCTGATTATTTCATAATTCATTATGTGCTTTACGCATATCAGTATAGTCTTTAGGTAATGCGTAGGTTTATATTATTATTTTAAAATAACGAAAAGAATATTATGAGATTTCTATTTAATATGCGAAATTTTAATTAATTTTATACTTATTTAATTTATCATACAAAAACAAGTACCTAATTAGACTAACGAAACATTAAACGGCATTTAGTTTGTTAATTGTTTTAGTAGTCATTATTTATAAGTTGTTACATATTGGTTAATGAAATAGTTATATAATATTTTCCTTTTTCTTTACTTCACTGAAACATTACGTGAAACGAAAATGCAACCTTTTAGATATCGGTGTAAGGGTACGGAAACAGAACCATTCATACTGCCCTGAAACGGAGGTTTGATATGTCCTTCTGATAGCTGTGACGGTGTCTTTTTAGGAGTTTTTTTAATATAACATTTTAATAGCAAGCAGATACACAGTGATAACATAAAACGTGACAATACTTGCATGGAATTCGTTCAAGATGTTTTTGTATTTTTTTTATGTGTCTCCTTTTGTAAGCAGAAAATATTTTATTACGTAAAAGATTTGTTTATTGGTGTATTTACCAAACTAAGATAATGTTTCAGCAGAAAAGTCAGGGCACATTAAATTAAAGTAAATATGTATATTTCTCTCCTTATGTTATTATTTTGAGGGTTTAAGTTTATTTCTTGGCAAAAAATGTATTCACTTACTTGATTTGGTCCGGTGAGATTCAACCCGCAGGAGTTGCAGCGGAGGCATTCCTCGTGATAATGGTTGTTGTCGTACAACGGGGATGGCTCTGTAATTTCGTTTCTTTTAACACAATTCTTCCACAACACAACAGCAAAATCAATTCAATTTTCAAAGATACAAAATATCACGAAACTGTTATTTAATTTAAAAGTAGTGTCTAGTATCGTCCAAAAATTAAAATTTATGAAAGGTGAAATCAATTTTAACATTCCAGATTATTATTAATTACGATTCTTATTCTTGAGTTATAAAAACAAGACTACCAAGAAAGTAATAAATTATGTAATAACAACAAGATGCAAGATGAAACTACAACAAGATTTAAGCATTTCGTTATTAAATCTATTGTTCATTTAGGTCGACTGGTGGTCTTTAATAATAATTATGCTTTAGAGCAGAATTTATTACAGTTTGAATCTTAATTACATGGTGTTCAATCTTTCTGATATATATTTAAAATTGATTATTTATTTAGTTCGATGAGACCGTGAATGAAAACTTGATTGAGTTTAATTTTTGATTATGCATTAATTTGTTATTTTAGTAGCAAAAAGGTTTCCCTTTTATTTTTACTGAATATAAAATATGTTATATGTCACAAAATGTGTAACATCTAAATAGCTCAGTTTTATAAAAATTTGTATGAATTGTATTATTTATATAAAGATATCCGTTGTTATATAAAATTGTGAATCAAAACGAATCATTGTATTTTGATCCCTCATTTTTTTAATCATTCGAGTCATGTTTACAGGCGAACGGTTGACTAAGCTTTAAGGATTTGAATCTCATTTAATATGAATGTTTGAAAAACACACTCACTCACAGGGAATGTATGTGCCAAATTGCTCGCCAGCAGTGAAAGTGAAATTTTCTTGGCCAGTAGCCAGAAGGGAATATTAGTGGCGCTGGGTGGAATGCCAAATTGCCAGCCTTTGAAACTTCAAACATTTTTTTGTTTAATTTAATTAATATATACGAACGGCATATTTTTAATATACATTTGTAACAGCATTGTTTTTATTTGTTTATAGAATTTTATCTATATGAGCTATATGATCTATAATAATATCAATCATTACACGTCCATAATAAAAAACCTACAATTTTATTGAAGTATTAAAATAAAGTAGGTCATAATTAAAACGATCGCAGGCAGTAAAGCGGGCAGTAAATACGTATTTCCATCTTTATGAGTCCCTACAATACAGGACGATAATGTTTATTTCAGTTTCCTTTAATATTAAGGTCGTTTGCCCAAACAAAAATTTAAGCTCATTAGTCTTTTTATTAAATTTTCTTTATCTTTTATTACATATATGAATAGGATCACTATATCTTAAATAAATGTAACTGAAAACATACAGAACACTGAATTCTATTTAGAAATCTGTGTATTGTTAGAACCTAAGTTAGATTAAAAAATATATATTTTTTAAAAGCGAAACATTTTAGTTATATCAGAGCACTTTAATTTATTGAAATGAAAAGATAACATTTATACTATGATTTATTTTTCTTAAATTTATTCCTAACATTCATACAACGACTCATAAAGTATAGAAACGTGAAACTTTTATAACTACAGACATCGATAAATTTGGTAAAAGACGGATCGTGATAAATATTTTTAGATATGATAATAAATATTGCGAGACATAACTATTAGATGATATTTTTCAGAGTTTCAGAAGTTTTCTTTTTACGATTATAATTAATCTGTTAAGGCGTCGTGTTTTGTGGTTTATACTGGTTTATCCTGTTTTTTGGTTCGTGTTTCTATTTAATAAAACCTCAACATACGTTTTCAGTATAGGATTACATGATTTCAATATGGAATCAAATCATTTTTATACTCTGGTATTTAGTAAAATATTTGTTCTTAATGATATTTAGTTTTGGTATTGGTATTTAGTAAAATATTTGTCCGTAAAAGTAATTGTGCTTTCATCTGAATATCTTCAGTAAAAATATTTTTTGCGTACGAAAAGAAAAATTTTAATACTTTCCAGCCTCTTATAACATTTATCATATTTTTAGTCAAAGGGAAATTATAGCCATTAGGGTCACGGGCGTTTGTCAATATTAAATATCTTTCACGATAGTTCTTAAGGAGCCCAAAATTTCAAGATTTTTCGTTTTAATAATTTATATGTAGATATTTATATATGCATATCAAATAGATATATATATAATTTAAATAATTTTCATAATTAAGCTATTGATAACAAATAATAAAGTTGTTAATACCACAATTTTGAAATACCTAAAATTTTAAATACGACTGGAATCAATATTATTTTTAAATCTAAGTTTTTTCAAATTTTAAGAATCTTTAAATGTATAAATAGGTACGTGAGTTTTTATTGGCCCTAGTTTAAAAACGTAAATCTAAAATAACGTTTTACCATTGAATCATAATATAAATTGATGTTTAAAAATAATTTTACTTACCATAGTTCTCCACTTTTAAACTTTTAGCAGTCTCCAGTTATTATTATTTAAAATTGTTTTCGAATTTAAAATTGTTTTCGAATTCGTTTTACTGACCTAATATTTATATAAAAATGATTTTTATTTTTCACTTGAAGAAAGAATCGTTTATAAATCACACTTTAGCACTGTCCCGTAAGCAATTACAAAGTCACTTATACTTAAATCAAAAACAATTTTTATCAAAAGCCAAAAAAATATATAAGATATATCCCGATAAAATCTACGTTAGATTCTTTTAATTAGTTTTTATTCGTTGTAAAATCAGCGTAAATGGATGTTGGTCTACAAATATTTACTCGTAATTTTAGGCTGTCAATATAATGTTGAGGTTATTCGTTGTGTACGGCACGTCACTTTCGTTTTAGTAAACATGGCAGCGTTAGTGGGCAACAGATGACAGGGCGCGGGCGAACGAACCTGCGCCTGGCGTTCGTGTTCATCTCATCTCGCTACCGAGCTCCGAGCGAACGTTCTGCTACTTTCAAATGCTAGCTGACAGTTACGCGTCCTCCCTATACAATCAGAGGGCGCCACGGCACTTTTATTAAAGAAGCCTCTCTTAGTCCTTCACTCCGTCGATAAAACAGTCATCACATGCAGCTAGAAAGAGATGTAAAAGCATCTCGCGAATCGATTGGCTGATGGAAATGGGCGGGGAACAAGCACGTGGCTGAAGCTTTTGTAACCGCGAGAATAGTTTGCATTGTTGTTTTCCAAATTTTGATTTTTCACATTCTTTTAAAATGGTTAGTAGTATAACTTGTATTTTGTTAAGTTTAAATTATGTTTATGCATGTTTATGTCTATTTTTTTGTTTAAAAGTATGAAAATATGAAGAGAAGCATGAATAAGTATGATTAATTATAATAATCTATAACTTTGTATTAAATGTTTATAATTATTTAAAATCTACTTACCAGTTTGTGTACTGGAATCAAAGAATGTACTCGTAGTTTCTACAGTCATGGTACCAATAGTGCCATCGAGTATTTGTGTTGAAGAATCTCGGCGACCACGAGCACGCATACAAGCGTCATCACTTTGGGAGCTTTGTCTTCGAAAATTACGGCATCGTATCATTTCTTCTGTTGTAGATTGACGTCTAAAGCCACGTGCTATCAATATCTCTTCTGTGGTCGATTGTCTCCTAAACATCGTTCTCTCAGGAGGTCGTGCACAGGGGCTTGGATCTCGGCTTGAACATGAGCTTGACTCAGGACTTCTTGCTCGACCAACTCTGGCACATGAAGCTTGGCGTCTTAAGCGACTTCTCCGACGAGCGGCTGATGGGCTGAGTTCACCACCCCCCGCGCGATCGGGACTCAACTGGTTTCTTTCTCTTTTTGGTCGTGCTGAGTCAGGACTCAACGAATCACGTCTGGCTCGGCCTGCGTCATCCGGTTCCAGTGTAGGTCCGGAATCCCTGCGACGGGTACCAGGTGGACCAGTAGGGTCATCAAAAGCAGTTGCTTGTCTCTGTAATCTGCCTAATCTACGTTCTGGACTAGCCGTAGCTCGAGAATCTCGTCTAGCTCGACCACATTGGGTGGTAGAATCTCGTCTGCCACCTAATTGTGGCGGCGTTTTTCCACCAGGAGTAACTTGAGTACCCTGTGCAGACTGTGTAGCTTGAGTGGCTTGAGTAGTCTGTGTTGCATTGGATGTGGGTATAGTTGGTGAAGTAGGCGAAGGTGTTACCGCTGATGTGATAATAGTTGGCATAGTCATTGGTGGGCATTCTCCATCTGAGCGACTTGGCTCGTGCACTGTTACTACTGTCACAGAGGGCGGATGGGTTGATGGACCTGGATCGGATGATGCATCTACAAAAGATGGCGGACCCGGTGTCGGTGGAGAACCTCGTCTCTTTTTGTGAGTGGCCACTATACGCGGTGGAGGAGCCGCTAAGGAATCGCGTCGATGTCGGTGACCATCAACCGAATCACGACGATCTTTACCATCTCCAGATCCTCTCCGTTTAACTCTGCGTTCTCTGGTCATTACAGCTATAGAATCTTTGCGATCTAGGCTGCTGGGAAAATCTGTTTTAAAATCATGAGGGACAGCTTTGGAATCCCGACGTTTAGACACTGAGGATTTAATTCCAGAATCCGCTGACGATTCGCGTCGACGACGAGGGGGCGGTTCGTGTCGGGCCCAAGGTAAAGAGCGAGCTAAGTCTGCCAATGTCTCTCGTCTGGATAACGGAGCTCTTTGACGTCTGGGTGCGCTGCTCCCACCACCCCATTCGCGAAGGATGTCGGTAAGTTGAGCAAGCGACGAACGACGTCGGCGGGGACCACCTATGAAATTAAACATATTCGTACAGTTTTTATCTAAATCATATTTTTATTTGTATTTCTTGTTTTTATTAAAAATATAGAAATATTTCTCGTGAGATATAAAATTTATTATTTCAAATGTAAGCTTTGTAATCAGTTTTACGTCATTTCAAATGCCACACAATCTATTATTATCATTGTTTTAGTTTATTAAATAAAACATTACCCCTGGGTTGATCTGAGACATCGGGCTCTGGTGGTGATAAGCAACACACTTGGGCTGCAGAATCCCTGCGATTCCCAAGCCGCTGCCTGAGAGTAGATTCTTCCAAATTGGATCTTGTGAGTTCGTCCCATCCATTCCCTCCAGCCCATACCAAACCAACTTGGTGCGATAGTATCGGTAAATTGCAGACGAAGCATATTGCTGTCATGGTCCTGTTAAGAATAAAATTATTTAATAAATCGTTTAAAACATGAAATGTGCACCACCAAGGCCTGATACAACCTTTGGCACCAATTATTTCTAAGGTTAGGATCAAGTAAAACTCACGCTTTGTTATTATGAAAATGTGTGAATGGAAACATGACAACGAACAACGTTCTACTCCGCGTACAATGAGTGAAGCCACATATCACGTCCTTGTTTCCACATCATCGGACTGATAACTGAAGAGGCGACTCGAAATTAAGTAATAACCGCTCCTATGCGTGACGACATGGGTAATATACCAATAAACTATTGATAAAACACTCACATATTAATTCTGAATGTGCATCTTTATTATCGTCGACCAGATGTTTATAGCCATTTAAAAGGGAAATGCTGAAATAACTAGATTTCAATTTTTAAAATATGGTACTATTGATGTATCATCATAAGGTTTCACAGATTTAAAATAAATACAATACTATACTTATTAAGATAAATAGAGTTTCCGGTTTTAGTTATAATTAATTTTAAATGTTTTTTTATTCTAAAATTAATAACGTAGGCTGATGTTTGAAGTCTGAAAACGATAACACAAATTTATGAACGGAAAATTATGATTAATAAAGTCAAGTTATGACATTGCTATTGGCACTTGATGTGTTGATAAGCCTATCTATTGGCTGTACGCCCGAACGATTTCCCGCCTTGATACATCTAAGAACGATTTGGCATTACATAGAGTTGTAACAATATTTGATGAAATGGAAACTTACAATGTGCTCAATCGATTTGAAATTATCTGTTCAATGAGTTTTAAGCGTATGTAAACTAAACAAATACAATGTTGGCTTTATGTTGGCCAGCGAGAAAGTCAAGTCCAATATAACAATAACCTGTAACTTCGTCGGACTAGTTTCGATGAAAACCAATCTTATTTATTGACTTATGTTAATGTAGCATTTATAGTAACGAATATTACGTATAAATAAAGTCTTGGCTAGACTACTTAGTCTAAAAATAAACATATTGTTTATTAATAACAAATCTCTATTAAAAACAAGACTTTGAAATGTAAATACCATAACGAATCTATATTTTTAAAATTTTTCTACTACTTAACTGTTATTTACCGAAAATATAAAGTGCTTTTAAACTACATTGATGATATCTATTGCTTTTGAAATCTGTGGCTACGAATTAATGAATATTGGCTCGGTTATATAGAGTTTCCTTCTAGCAAAACTAAATTAATGGTCTACTTAACTTACCTGTTAAGTTAGTTGTGAAATAGTTATAGGAGAAAGTTACTTACGTCTAAAATTATCTATTGTTGCAATATACATGAAAAAGCTTAGGATAGTGTAAAGCAAAATATTGTGTGTTCATGTCTATAAGTGTTAATAGTCCTGCTACTGAGATTTTTTATTTATATACACTATTGATTATGGTGACAGTGATTGTGTATTTAAATGATCTTGTGTAAATAGAATACTTAAAATTAGATACTATTCTACATTTAAGGCACAAATCTAAAACCGGTATAGCTAATTTTAGATAAGTGACCAATTAATTTGGGTCAAGCTCATGCTAGGAATTTTTCGGGGACCTGTAATGCCGAAGACGAGGTGAGGGAGATTGCATGTCGAAAGCCGGGGCATGGGGTCTATCAGGGTTATTCGACACTCAATATCACATACACTTTGTACATCTGAAACAATAGGTTAATATTACTGTATTAATTTGTATAGTGTGTTTGTGTGTAACCTACGAATATTTAGCTGCTGAAGCCGATAGTAGCGACATGGAGTATACGCAACACTAGCTAAAACTAACAACCCTCTTAGGAAGTGTCATATTACACTGATAGGTGGCAGCACATTTTATGAACTAAAGGCTTTTAAGGGATGTCTTTGATGTTCCGTTTAGAATATACAGATGGCGTTAATAACCAAAGATTTTTTTATATAACCCGTGAATACTGTATATAATAAATATTTTTGAATACTCCCTAACAATGACAGAGTTCATTATAAAATGGGATTAAAATTTGTATATTAATTTATTTTCTGAACTTTGTTTTCATTACGTCTTTTCGTTCCATTAATTTTAATACAATAATCCTAGCTCTAAAAGTGTACTTCTGTTCTTTTTAACTCTGTCATATATGAAAAAACTGCTCTCATAATAGGATTGTAAATCCATGCTTTTAGACGAAAGAAAATACTTTAATGTCATAAGGATTTAATAAATGTGTGTTTTTATTTGTGATAGAATGTTTTCTGGCTGTAACATTTCTTTAAAATTATATTTCTGTCATGCTTATGGTTTAATAATTCGTACCATTTAAATTAAATAAAAAATACGCTTTTGCTATCTGCATTCTAACGCCATTTTGTTAAATTTATGGAGTATATTTAGAAAATCCGGTCAGGATCGTTGATTATTATAATGGAATTTCGGGATAATCAGCTATAAATTGCAAGAATCCAAAACTCTCGGTGTTAGAAATATGCATTGAATAATATATAACAATTCAATATTCTTATTACTTTTAATGAATTAAGTGAAAAAAATGTTGCATTTCTACTTTCATATTTTTTATTAAGCAGTGTAAGTTTATCAGCAGATTATTAAATAAAATAATTTGTGAGAATTTCTGTTATGTTAAAAGTATTTCAATTAAAAAATGTTTTACTTAAAGCTAGCATCCACTTGTATGATTCAAAGTATTCACTTCTCTCGTTATAAAATAGTTCACATTCAGATTCCGAACAGAAGAATATTTCGAAATTATGTTAAATTCTAAAATCGTCTAATTTTAGAGTTTAGTATGAGATTGTTGTTGGTTTATTTATAGCTGTAACTACGGAGATAGGGTTTGTAGAATTATCTATTCACCCTATATTTTATATATATACTATATATAAGTGAATTCTAAAATAGTGTCATTTATTTGAATGAAAAGTTAAAGTGAAAAAAAAGGCTGCAAAAAACTGGTTGTGGTTTGTATGTTAAGTGGTTAGCAAGGCGTTAAAAACGTTGCTTTGGAAAATCAACCTCAAGTACTTGTATTGCTACTTTTCTTTATTCTTCTTTAGTTTTACTTTCTAAAACTATTGACGCATCTGAAACTTTTTTGGCAAAGATAGCCATTTTTAGAAGAGCTCTCTTGATGCGAATAGGGATAATGTTTTTGTCTATCATTTAATAATTAATCATGGAAATATTTAATAATCAATACATCCTGTCTGCCCGTGATCACAGTTGCTGTAAAGTGGCCGAAACGTAGTATGTAGTTTATAGTCAAAAATAAAAACGCGTGGTAAGTCCGAAAATATTAGTTTCATTTAAATGGAAATATTTGTTACTTAACAGATATCTTGCAAACGAATGAACACTTCAAATACGCCAGTAATATTTATTGATAGGCTGTAGATTCAATTGTAAAGACTCCGAGTTGATTATAATTAAATATTAATTTATATATACAGCATAATTTCGTTTCCTATCTCCGGAATATATATAATAAATATTATTAAATAAAACCAAAGCTCTTATTTCAATACGTCTAGAGGCTGGATTTGCAACAATATTTACCCAGATTCCACCTTGCCAATTGAGGTTTCTGCGCTTTTCAATTTTACCCCCAGGTATTTTGCCAATTAATTCTCTTAGCTTCGTGAAAACGAAATAGGGCTTTAAAGATACAAAGCCTTTTCAATCTAAGCGGTTTATATAACTCATTTGAATCTGTTAGTTTGATGTCAAACGATTTGGATAAATTAGGGAATTTTACTTCTGCAAATATTGATAATACTGAATTTAATGGGAAAATTATGATGGTTTATTCCATATTTTATGGTAGATTGCCGCGGAACCATTCGTCTAATTTTAATATTGTATTTGATATCAAATATTGAAAAGCAATTTACAATATTTTCGTCAATGTCTTATGGTTCAAAGCAACACTTGTATCTCCATTTCTGCTAAAACGTATGACATAATTTTAAAACATAATTATGAACTTAAAATAACTACGGGTACTACTAGAAATGTAACATGTATTCTTAATCGTAACATTTACTTCTGATTATTTACAAAAATTAGCCGTCATTGAAGAACTGGGAACAAATACTTTTCATTTTCGGCCGTCCCGAACAAACGGCAATGTTGTCCAATTTAGATTGGTTTTTGATTGATGGGTACGGGCGAACTTTTAAATGAATTTTCGTGGGGTCCCATCCGAAGACTGAAGGGCGTTCTATTGTCTGCTAATATTAAGTCGTATAACAACTGTATTTATTCAAATGAATGTCTTAAAATATTTTTAACGTTGATAAAAACGAAGGAATATATATGTATATTGTAAGGCATTTAACATTCATCAATTTTACTGAAGAATGTACCAATATTGTCATTATTTCAATCCTTTTGTAAAAATCTTTGGTTTGTAGGCGGTAACAAAGAGTTTTTCTTATTATTATGTACCAAAATATTTGTTATTTATCATTATGATATAAATAAACAGAAATTTACTGTCACGAAACCCAAAATACTTATTGTATTTAAGAAAAGATAAAAAAAATGTAATCATAAAACTAAATATATTTTTTAAATACAGTTACAGAAACTCAGTTCCATCTGTTATTAGTGGTAGTGAGGTCAAATTATTCAAGCAACGCCTGTAAGTCACCTACAGATAGCAAAAGCAATTTTGCGGAGATGAAAGGTAGGGAAATATTTGTAATTACCAGACTGTTTTAATATTCAATGGAAAAATTGATTTCTCATCATAACATTGTTTCAATATTTATAATTTGAATTTGATGGGAAAGATTTTTATAACAATTTAATTTGTTATCCATAATTAATATATTTTTGTTTAAATAAATTATATAGAATTATAAATTCACACATAATGATTGTAAAATAACAAGAACGTTTTAAGATCATCATTTAATTGTGAGATATTTAAGTTGAAGAAGTATTTCGTTACGAATTTCGTGATTCATTTTTGTTGTAATTTAGAATTATTGCTCTCCATATTTTTATGAGGAACACTCAAGCTGAGAGGTTCATGTTTTTTAGCGAATGCTGAAATTGTGTTACTTCCGTGAGATACGTCTTTGTTTTCTCAGTTCATTGAATGTTGAAGTTAATTACATGTCTTTGATCTTTATCTACGATGGAGGCGAATACAATAAAACACAACGTTGAACATTGTTATTTTCTCGGTTGCTAATCTCGTAACCATCAATTCGCATTACTTTAATCAATTTAATGTTTCAGCGTAAAAAATATTGGAATTTCTCTATACTCTAATACACTGAGAGTTAAATAAAGTTTGGCCTAAAGGTATTTTATGTGCTATACGCAATATTTAAATGCTTTATAATAAATAATAAAACAACGATTTGTGAAGATAAAATTATACACAGATATTATTCTCTTTTTTTATGCTTAGAAATAAATTTTATAATTTGAATGTCAAGAAGATTCCAATGATTGCTTTCTTTGTTTATATAAACAGAAAGTACTCTAAAGTTACTCTATAACAAATATGGTCTGGAAATAGTATCCGCCTTTATGTACGCAAATAATAAAACATACGCAGGAAATATAAATATGTAGCTGTTTAAACTAAATAGCATCAGTGCTTTATTTAAATGCGATCTCAGTTGTTTATTTTAGTATACAGTAAACACTGAATTATTTATTTTGTATATAAAAATATCTTATTCATAATTATATTAGTCCATTAATTCGTATTTATTAATATGCGTATTTAAATTAGTCTACTCGGATATAGAATTCAGAGGCTCGTTACGGGGAGATTGCTGCTCTAATTGGATCTTTAGTAACGTATGATCTATAACTGGAACAATGATTGCATACTAACATACATATGTTATCTATACAATGTCAATTATGTGCAAAACAGGATATTAAATAGTAATCGTGATTCTGATTGGCTGTCGTTTTACAAAGAACTGAGAAAAAAGCGTTTTATGTTATTAAGAATGTATGTTATTTTTATTAAATCTTCTTTGTATATGTACAATATTTTTCAGATAATTTATTTTTATAAATTTTGTTTAACTCCTAGACTTTAAATTCCTTGATGCCTCTACGCTTTTTCTCAGACGTTGGATTTTTCTCAAAAGGAATTGTTTTTTTTTTATATTTAAAATGCATAATAAATAAAACTGATGTTTTCGGATGACTACCCGTTTTATCATTATTTTAAACTCCCGACGATTTACTATGGTTATTTTTCAAAAAGGAGACAATTTTAAGGGCATATGCTCTGCGTACACGTACGTATACCTATGTACCTACGTAGTTTCAAATAATGAAAATGAGAGGAAATCCGAAGCTATTAGTTTTATTTTCATGGATATTCGCGAAAGTCTTAGATCTCATACAACTCAATGAAACATTAACTTCATCTACAATACCATCAGGATTTTGTTGATTATTTAATTGTTACAGCTAGTAATCCTTGATTTTATTTATAAATATTATTCTTTCGTTTAAAATGAACAACGTTTTTATTAATTAAATATCAAGCAAATAGTTGAATTGTAGCAGAAATTGAGTTAGGTAGTAGAGTCCTTTTTCAAGCACCAATAAAGTTATTT